CTGCATAATTTTTAATTGAATACAAGGGAATAATTTAACTTAAATACAAAGAGACTACATATAAGTTAAACAAGGTAGGAAAAGTAAAAGACTATTCTACCCTTAATAAATAAAATTACCCTATATTTTTTAACATCTTCCCTCAAACTCACGATGTAGCAGCGACAAACATCGAGAGTTTGCCAATTAGAAAACAAAAACGGGAAATAGAATGCGACTTAGTAAAGAAATCTGCAATCTGCAAAGAAGAAGAAACAAAGGGTAAAGTAATGGTGTCATGCTTGAGATGATGACGAGTAAGGTGACAATCGATCTCAATGTGTTTAGTTCGTTCATGAAAAATCGAGTTGTGAGAAATCTAAATAGAACTCCGGTTGTCACAATACATAGGAGTGGAATGAGAAAGAGAAACTCCCATATCTGCAAGTAACCAACGTAACCAAACAATCTCTTTGGTAGTAGATGTCATAGCACGATATTCTGCTTCGGTTGAAGATTGAGAAACAATAGATTGTTTCTTACTCTTCCAAGAAATAAGAGAATCACCCAAAAAGATACAGAAACCAGTAACAGATTTGCGATTTGTGGGATCACTGTCATGATCAGCATCAGAGTATGCACACAGCTCCAAGGAAGAGGTGGATGGAAGTAAAAGGCTCTGAAAGACTGTACCCCGAAGAAACCTCAAAATACGAAGAATCACTGCTCAATGAACTGTAGTAGGAGAAGCAACAAACTGAATAACAACATGAATAATATATGCAATATCTGGACGAGTAATAGTGAAATATATCAAGCTCTCAATAATAGTACGGTATAAAGTAGGATCTGACAACGGTACACCATCAGAAGAGGAATATTTTGCGTTAACCTCAATGGGAGTATCTACAGTCTTATTATCAGTAAGTCTAGCTCGCTCAAGAATATTTGTAACATATTTCGACTAAGAAAGAAGATAACCTCTGGGTGAGCAGACTACCTCAATATCCAAGAAATATCGTAGAGAACTCAAATCCTTCATTTCAAACTGTCTAGCCAACTCTGTCTTCAAAACTGAAATACCATTAATATCATCACCAGTAATAATTATGTCATCAACATATAAAGACAGAATGATACGACCTGCATCAGTGCATTTAACAAAAAGAACAGAATCATGACTACTAGAAGTAAACCCAAGGGAAGAGATCACAACAGAAAATTTCTCAAACCAAGCACGAGGTGCTTGTTTGAGACCATATAACGCTTTCTTGAGCTTACAAACATACCCAAAATCATGTGAAACACCAGGAGGGGGAGTCATATAAACTTCTTCTTGAAGATCCCCATTCAAGAAGGCATTTTTAACATCAAGTTGAGAGATATGCCACTGACGAACCGAAACATTTACAATAAGAGTACGAATAGTAGTCATTTTTGCAACAGGAGCAAATGTCTCCTCATAATTCATACCATACTGTTGAGAGCACCCTTTTGCAACCAACCTAGCTTTGTATCGTTCAACAGATCTATCAGAATTGATCTTAATCTTATGCACTCACTGACAACCAACAACACTCTTACCAGGAGGTAAAGGAACCAAATCCCAAGTACCTGTCTTATGAAAGCAGAAAGTTCCCCATTCATAGCTTGCTGCCAAAGAGAGTCAAGAATTGCCTCTTTATAGGAAGAGGGCTCAGAGAGACAATGAATAGAAGCTAAAATGGAAGTAAAAGATGAAGAATAACAAGAATAAGTAAAATCTGGTAACTTTGTGGACTTACGAATGCGTGTGGATTGACGTAGAGGTGGATTCACAATCTTAGACGGAGCTTGAGGGACCATAGGAGAGGAGGTAGCTTTAGGTGTGCTAGAGAGTAAAGTGTCAGTACCTGTAGAATGATCAGTGCTGGTATTTGAAGTATTAGAAACCTGAGATGACAAACTATCAGAATCATCAGAAAAAGGATCTATAAGAATAAGATCAGATCTAGTCAAGCTATAAGTAGTAGATGGAATAGAAAAGAAAGGTATATGCTCAAGAAAAACAACATGACGAGACACATAAAGTTTTTGAGTTATTAGATCAAAACAACGATACCCCTTTTTACTTTCGCCATATCCAAGAAAGACACAAATAGCAGATCGAGAGGACAACTTGTTGTGTTCAACATGAGGACGAAGAACAAAACAAGTACAACCAAAAACTCTAAATGAAGAATAATCAGGGGCATACCCATACAACTTTTCGAAAGGAGAAACACCTGGAATATGAGAAGATTGAATTGTATTAATCAAACCTACAACAGTAAGAACTGCTTTACCCCAAAACTCACTAGGAATAGAAGAAGACAACAAGAGAGAACGAACAGTTTCAACAATATGCCTATGTTTTCTTTTAGCAACACCATTTTGCTCAGGAATATCTGTACACGAAGTTTGGTGAATAGTTTCATCTAAGGCAAGCAACTCAACAAATTTATTAGAAGTGTATTCCCCACCCAAATCACACCTAAAACATTTGATAACAGCAGAATGTTGAGTTTTAACAAGAGCTCGAAAAACTGTATATATCTCAAAGAATTCAGAACGATGTTTCATTAAATAAATCCAACAATAACGAGTATGATCATCAATAAAAGAAACATAATATCGAGACCCTCTTTTTGTGGTAACAAGAGAAGGTCCCCATACATCATAATGAATCAAATCAAATGAAGAAGAAGAAATAGAAATACTTCGATTAAAAGGTAAAGCTGAAAATTTTGCCAGTTTATATCCACTACAATCAGAAATATCACAAATTTTTAAATTTCCTAAAGCCCCTGTGGATGCCAAAAATCTCAAACGAGAAGACGAAACATGACCTAAACGAGAATGCCATAAATAAAAACTAGAAGAAAAAAGACTCAAACGAAAAGAAGATAAATCAACATTAGTAGCAGCAGCAATAACTGACACTTTTAACTCATCCAAAATATATAGTCCTCCCTTCCTACTGCCTGTCTCAATCAACTTCTGAGACTGCAGATCCTGCACATAACAAGAAGAAGAGAAAAATGTGACTAAATTTCCAGAATCACATAACTGACCAACAGAAGCAAGATTTAATGTGAGTTTTGGAATATGATAAACATTAGGGAGAGACAAGTGAGGTGTGACAATAGAACCAACACCTGTTAAAGGCATATGAGCGCCATCAGCAGTCATAACAGGAATAGAATATCAAGGAAATACAAAAGTAAAAGGTGAAGAATCTGGAGACATATGATGCGAGGCACCAGAATCCAAGACCCATACAAAATGTGACATACCTGGAGAACTATGAGGCAACTGACCTCCTGAAGAAAAAGCAGACATAGCTTGTGGCTGTAAGGAGAGAAACTTCTAAAATTGCTCAACCAAGGTACTAGAATCGGTGAAAGGACCTGATGAAACTATTGTTGTAGTATTAGACTGTGGTGGTTTGTAACCCTGAGGTGGTCTAGAAGCATTAGATTGTGACTGGGTGCCAGACTTTCAAGCTTGAGATTGCTGTTGCAATTGATTTTGTTGTCTTAACTTAGGACATTGAGTCTTCCAATGACCTTTCTACTTACAGAAACTGTACTCGTCGAAGGCAGGTCTTTTGTAAGGCTTATTCTGATTATAAGAGAATGGTTTAGAAGGTACTGCTAGCACAGAAGGATCAACAGTAGAAAAAATTTCCTTGTCATAATAAGACTTAAGACGTATCTCTTCAGCCAATAACTCACTGACAACTGAGTCAACAGAAGGAAGTGGAGAACGATGCAAAATTGAACCTCTAAGTCCTTCAAAATCACTACGAAGTACCATCAAAAACTGTACCAACCGTTGCTGCTCTCTACGAGCAATATAGGCACCACATGCCTTTAATTCAACAGATTCTGTAAAAGCCAATTGATCCCAAAGATCTGTCATAGCAGAATAAAAATTCTGAATACTCATATTCTTTTATTGAAGAGCTCGTATGTCATGCTCCAATTGATACTGCTTTGAAAAATTTGATTGAGTGAATAACCTTTGCAGATGATCTCAAACCTCCTTTGTTGTCTCATACTTTGCCAACTGCGTACCTATAGAATGCTCAACAGAATTGTTGATCCAAGTAATAATTTTTGCATTGTTTGCTTCCCAGACATCTATCAAATCAGCATAACCTACATCAGTATTCTTAGGTTTCACAGAAATTCCACTAACATATCCCCATAGCTTTTTACCCTAAAAAAAATTTCTCATCACATAACTCCAATACGAATAATTCTTTTCATCCAACCTCACACTCACAGACTGAAGTGAATTGTCTTTTGCAGTAGCCATAATCAACAAACAAAGAAAACCATATTGCAAAAAGGGAACCAATACCAGATTGCCAGAAAAAAACAGAACAAATACCAGATTGCCAAAAACGGAAAAAAATACCTTCTCAAAAAAAAGTTGGATCCGCGTAAACTGTGTTTGAGATTAAGCCTTGTCCCATAAAACTTTGCTCTGATACCATGTTAAACAATCTAAAGACATACAAGAGATAAGAAAGAGAGGAGACTAGAATTTTATTAATACTGCATAATTTTTAATTGAATACAAGGGAATAATTTAACATAAATACAAAGAGACTATATATAAGCTAAACAAGGTAGGGAAAGTAAAAAACTATTATACCCTTAATAAATAAAATAACCATATATTTCTTAACATTGTTAATACTTAGTAAATGAACAACACCCCAAATATGACACCATTTAATCTCGCTTAGTGTTGGTTTTGTGGTTGATTTTGTTATTTGGTAACCTTGAGTTTTCAAGTTCAATTCTTTTTCACACCCCCTTAAGAGTCGGTCACCATTCTTCCTTAGAAACATTTTTTAACCCACCTCAAGTCATACTGGCCGTCGTGTTTAGAAGGTACTCGACTTCTTTTAGAAAAGTAAGGCCAATCGCCTTGGCTAAAAAAGAATGAAGATAAGTCAATGCGAGGGATAGAGACCCGCCCTATCAAAAATGTCTAGCCACTTGATGTTTGGCAAGCCAGTCAGGTGTGGAGTTTGTTGGTGAAGTTTTTGCCCTATCCTGCGGTAGAGGTGTCAATCGAGATGAGTTATTCGGATTCGACTCAGATAAAACTTGATTCGAGTTCGATTCGTGTTCTAAATAAGTTGAGTCTAAACAATTTTATAAGTTTGTTTAGAAAAACGAGCCTAAAAGACTTGGCTTAAGTTTGCAAAGTTCAGCTCGTTTATATGTTAAAGTCGAGCTACTCGGACTCGATTCGAATTTTAAACGAGTCGAATTTGAACAATTTTTTAAACTCGTTTAAAAAAACAAACTTGATTAACACTTCTACCTGCAGGAACTCCAATGGAAGTCTAAGTCTCTTTCCGACTAGCAGAGTTGTTAAAATCCCCTGCTCTAGTAACTCCTTGGAATCCAAAGACTTCTTCAACTTGTCCGTGTAATGTTTTCTTAGTTTGTGAGTACAGGTAGTCTGTTGTGTTTTTTTTTTTGGTTAATAATTGTTATAGTACGCGTGATCCTCTAGAGATTTTTTTACCTGAGAACAGACTTGAAGAGAGGCAACTTCAGTGTAGAAGAGAAAGAAACCATTGTAAAGTTGCAAAGATCCTTGGGAAATAAGTGTGAATTCTCTCTATTACATCAATCTAAGCCAATGATATTGCATTTCAGCAGCTAACTGTTATGAAAATTGTACTTACCCACTTTTTTTCCGACACTGATTTATGTTAGAGTGTTCATGAATGCAGGTGGTCTCTGATTGCTAGGCATTTGCCAGGAAGAACAGACAATGAAATAAATAATTACTGGAATTCTCATCCGAGTAGGAAACTTTACGTCTACATGAGGCCCTGCAGTGAATCCCTACCGGCCTCCACGAGTGTCACCAAAATTACATTTCCATGCAAGCGAAGAGGTGGACGTGTGAGCCGATTAGTGGCCAAAAAATACAACAAGATCACACCTTTGAATATTACAATGACAAAGACGACGCCTGAGAGTAGGGTCCTCGACTCCAACGTTACAAACAAAGCTACCCTGCCAGGCCCCATTACAGGACCAAGTGTCAGAGGATGTGTGAATGTGCATGACTCTTGCAAAAACAGCGATATTTTCACTACCCCCGGTGTTAATCTGCATTCCAATGCAGTTACATTATGTTCTAATAAAGAGACAGAAACTGAGGGATTAGTACCATATCAAGAGGCCGATGAAGAAATAATAGAGCTAAATCATATAGTGGAAACTGAAGTTTCAGCCTTTAATGATGATATAGGGAATGAACAGTTCATGTGCTACACAACATCGTGACAGCTAGTGAGGAAAGTCTAGATTCAATCTTTGATGAGTATATAGGAAATGAGTTCATGTTCCTAGACAACAACACCACAACTAGTGAAAAAAGTCTAGTTTCAATCTTTGATGAAGATACAGGAAATGAGTTCATGTGCCTAGACAACGTTGTGAAAGCTAGTGAGAACACTGTAGTTTTAAATTCAATCGTTGATGAGGATATTGGAAATGCGTTCATGTGCCTAGACAATAACGTCACAGCTAGTGAGGAGAGACAACGTGATACTTGGAGCTCAAATCCAGAGATGATGGACTTGTCTGCGTGTTCCTCAATAATGAATTCATGGTTTGAGGATGAGTGGATAGAGACGGGTTGGGGGTGTATAGATGAAGGCCTTCGCCGCACCTCTCATTCTTAGGATATTCTCTACTCTCATCCAAGGAACCATTCATTCTTTCGTAGACATCCGATTCAATGAGATAATCTTGTAAAAAACTTTTCATCAAGAGTTTAAATCGTCCTCCCACTCTCACTCCCACTCCCACTCCCACTCCCAAAAAAAACAAATACACCCCTTGGGTCAAAGTAAACTCCATCTAAAAATAGAACTTACGACTAAAACAAGGACTACATTGAATTAGGTCTCTATGACATTGCTAAAAAAAAAATCAAAACTTATTTTTTACTTTAAATATAATTTTTATTTATTTTTTATTTATTTGATTTTTTTTAAATTGAAAATTACTAATAATTTTTTTTTGTATGTTCTTCATGATTAAGAATTATTTTATTACATTTTCAACCATCATTATATAAATTTTATTTGTTATTTTTTCATAATATAATTTCATTATCTTCTAATTATTTAAGATCTATCACTTGTTTATTTCAAAACTTTCACTTAAATCTTTTGTTATTTTTTTATCACTAATAATAAATTTATTAAGAGATATATATATATATTTTGTGATTCAATAAGTTTTTCTATTTTTCTTTCTTTTTTTAAGTTCTTTATTTCTAAATTATTGTTTTTTAGTAACCACAGTTTTTTAACAATCAAATTTTTTTTATAAATCAATCAAATACTCTCTATAAGAAAAAAACATAATAAAAATCAAAATTATAAAACAATAACACTTAATTTTATCATTTGTGTTCCTAAAACTTAGGATATTATAATGTAATGTTCCTTTAATATCATCAATAAAAAAAAAAGCAAAACAAATATAATAAATTGATTCAAACTATATTTTATACAAAATAACATTGAAAAAGAGAAAGTGCGAGTATAAAATAATATATTGGGGCTAATTTGATGACCTTTGTTGTGCGAATTAGAAAGGCGGTCAAGAGCCAAAGGGAGAGAGAATCATTTATTTTGTTTTTGGATGGAAACAAAAATTATTTGTGTGTGAGAGAGAGAGAGAGGGGAGTTGATGTTTTAATAGGAGAGACATAGGAGGGAGAGAGTGTGTTTGATTGATGAAATTGACTAGTTAAAAAGAATAATTAATAGTATTGGTTATTGTCTTTTCATTTTTGCATGCGACAGTCAAATAATTTTTTTTTTTTTTGGTTAAAATTTCATGTTTTTATCCAAATGGGTTGTGAGTCTTTTACTTTTCCTATGTCACAAACACTTTTGGGCTTTTGGGCCCCATTTTGTTAAAAATCTTTTGTTAATTTGAATTACATAGAATCTTTTTGCTTGGACTCAATTTTATTTGAGTTTAATCTTTTTTGGTTTAAATCATATTAAAAACTCAAAAAAAATTACGCCTTCATTTTAGATGGGACTTAAAGCAATCACTTCTTCGGCCTAGTTATGGGCCAGCCCTGTCCGAATGTATGTTTCTAGCTCCACCCTTGTTCATAGATGATCCATCCAATGAGCCGAAGTTAGCAGAACTTTGAAGATGTTCATATGAAAGTCAAGTCAATATTAGTATAAAATACCAGCAATGGTATCTAACATCTGCATCACCAATTCGCATTAGATGTATTATTATTCTGTGTTGACCATGGTCGTACTGGTTGGACGATGACACAGTCCGCAGGACCCCCTCGAATGAAAGTCCATCGAGCTTCCTTGCACTATGCGGAACAAACTATTATTAGGTTGGACATGCTTATAGCTAAATGAATGCACAACCAACCATAGCAAAAAGGATAGGAGGTGCTAGCTATGAATGAATGGTGGTAGGAAATTGTATTGTACCATTTCCTATTGACCACATGTCACCATTTTGTTTTTGTTTTTTTTTTCTTTTGAGAGGAAACTATATAAAGTTTATAAATCAAAAATATATGAAAGGAGCACGGGCATAATAAAGTCTAGTGCCTACTACAACAAAACAATACTACTATCTAAAGAAATAAAATATAGAGCTAGCTCACGGGCTACTTGATTCCCTGATCAGAGCTACATCATCAATTTGCTTGATTCAAATGCAGATAGTCACTATAAACCACTTTGGAGCACCTGATTGATGGTCTTAACAAGGGGAGAAGTTTTTTTTAAAATGCAATCCGAGATGTGTTGGGCGAAAATATATTATCATGTCACTACTAGATTAGCCATGAGGGGATTTTTGATGGAATATGCACAAGCGAGTACCACACAAAAGCTGGGCAAATGCATAGCCACAACGTATATAATGTTGATATGTGTTGAAGTACCCCATTTGTAAGTACAGCAAAAGGATGCAGCAACTTGGTCAACGATTATTCAGTTTATGATGTGTATCACAAGTTCATTGAAACATACCGATTACAGATCAAGGACACACAGGGTCATAAGAAGAGGCAAAACCCAATTAAAAAGAGCCTAACCTGTGTATAACAGCAAAATTCAGTAATTATGGTTAGTTTTGTACTAGTAGCCTTCACCATATGCAGCATTCTAAAGATATATGGTTAGTTTTGTACTAGTACCACTTTTGAGGGCAGGCTAACAGATTATCTGTATAAACATCCAAAAGCTGGCTCTACATTATTGCACCTGATTATAAGTTTAACAGCTAACTCTACAAAATAAAAGAACACAAAAGTGATGGAAGAATAATGTAGAGGGAACATTACAGTCAAGCTGTCAGAGAGGCAAGATATCGGAAACAACTTCATCAAGAAGAGAATTAAGTATCCGACCCTCAATCTCCACTCCCAGTTCAAATGCTTCAACTTCAAAGTCAAGCCATCTTCCGTATTGGCTACTCATGTCCTTGTCCACAAGCTCATCTACCATACAGTCCCCCATGCCTTTCCACCCTAAGATCTCCCTGTACACTTCTTCTGCTAATCTCTCTTTTCTTCTCACCACAGACAGCCCTTTTGCCCATGTCGTGCATCCCCCACCCACATACCTCCTGCATCTGATGTCCATGCATTCACTAACACAATCAAATAAAACCTTACGGTTTAACTTTGGATTGTCCCCATCTCTTTCCAACACCACGTGTAGACTTTCCAACAGATAAAAACGATAAGGAGTAATGATCTCACGAGCCCGACCCAATGCAAAATCCTTAAACATCAGCTCCACACTGGATAGTATCTCCTTCACATATTCCAGCTCCCACTTTGTTGCTCCCACATAATTTTTCACAGAGAAGACAGTCACATGCTTTCCGGCCATGGTTCTAGCAGAGATGGAAGAAGCTGAGTCAGATAAATCTGCAACAGCTTCGATCAAATGGAATTTCCTTGAAGAACTCGTACCAAGTACCTCCTTAGCTTGGACAGACGAAGATTGCTTGCTACCTGAATTTTATTCACAACAATTCTCTCTATTTAAATGGTACATTCCTTGTGAAGGCAAAATATTTTAAATAAAAAATTAGATGCATGGTGCTTACCTTCTGTACTCTTACTCTCTGCAGTATCTGAGGAGTTGCAACTTTCTGCCAAAAAAGAATGTTCAAGAACAGATATTGGACTTGGATGCCGAGAATCGAGCAACTTTCTGCCGTCAGTATCGTTGCTGCTACACTCTTCGAGTTGTTCAGCTCCCTGAGCGGTTCATAACTAATTAAGTTAATCACCCAGACAAAAATGGTACAGGAGAAAACCCCCTTTTTTTTGTCTTCTTTTTTCGCCCCCCGTGCCGCCGGGGGGGGGGGGGGACTCCATCTGTTTTAGGGCCAGCTTTAACTAACATTAACACATGGTGATAACTACATTTCATTTTGCTTGTCGATACTAAAGAGTCCATTACTGATAACGAAATACTACAAAAAATAAGAGGTCATTATGGGTAGAAGTTGGGATGCACTCAAACAATGAATTGATAAATTCAAAATTGGTTACAGTAGACTTGAGACTGAAATGCACTGGATCCATTATGAAAGATACCAACAAGGAATAAAAAGGAAAAAGAAATTGCAAGTTGTTATGAATTAAATGCTTATCATGAGCAGAGGCTAAACTGGTTGATAGAATTCCAAATTCTAAAATAAAGTGGAACACAAGTCAAAAGGACACACATAGGCAGCAGAACTCAAAAGAATGGGAAAGGGAAGTTTAGAAAGAAACAGATTAACATGGTGATAAAAGACGATGGATAAGCATATAATAAGTACCTCAGGCATATGATTCTCTCTGGGGTGCCAGTGCTGAGTTGATGGAAAACCAGGGGCAAAATAGCCATGCATTTCATCTGCATACAGTTTGTCTTCGCTCCTTCTATCATGTAACATTGGTGTGGTGGTTACTGGTTTGACAGCAGTTATGAAATCGTTAGAGGTAGAAGCAGTACTACCCGCCATCCCTGTTTTGTAAACAGAAGATTCCACTCCATGAGCAAATTCCTTCAGCTTTCGCTCCAGTAGGGTGCTTAATGCATCGCCTCCTATCACGTTATATCCCAGTGAAAATCTAGAACTATTTGTTCCACCTGAATCGAGAAGCATCTTTTTACTTCGATAATCTGAATAAAAGCCATTGCTTTTCTCTACCACCTCTCTGGAGGTCTGTGAACCAGATACTGATCGTGTCATTGGTGCGGTGAATGTAAAAGACACAACATCCATTCCTTTCCTTTTGCTATTTTCAGCCCAACTCATCAGTTCATTTGATAAATTTAGTTTCCTATTTTTATCAATCAACCTGTCACCGACATCCTGATTTTTCTCCAAGTGAAAATCCCCATCTATAGATCGTTTCTTTCGAGGGACATTTGTTGTAGAAGAACATGAGACTTCTTCTTTACTCTCTATCATGTCTAAGCCTGACTTCCTGGAAACAACCTTGGAGTTCCCTGCATATTTACTTGAGCTTTTCTGTTGCCCAAAAGCTGAATTGACAGAATGTGATTTTCTACCTTGTGGGTTAGAATCCAAGAGCTTTGAAGGTATAGCCCGATTTCCTCTCTCTGTAGGGCAGTTCTGCTTCTGATTATTCTGCCTGAGCACACTGGGATTTTTATGTATAGAAGTTTTCTTATGTGAATTCTTTTGTGTATTATTTGGTTGGCTTTTAAACAGCTGGCTTGACATAACCTTACTCTGTTCTTGTTGAACAAACAAATTTCTGCTGCCACTCGAATTCAATCCTTCTCTTTTCTGAACGTTGACCTTTGCTTGAAGTGCAAGAGAAACAGATTTTCCCTTATTCTTTAAACCAGCAGAGCATTCTTCGGGATTTGAAGAAATCCTGAATGATGTTGTATCTACCAATCCATTGCAACTCTTGTTCATAGATTGCCCCTTAAGATATTTGGCAGCATTGTATTCAACTGGCCTTCGCGAAGGTTCAGCAGGTTTGCATGGTTTTTGAGCAGCTTCCACTTTCTCTTTCAAATCTCTAATTCTCAAGGGAACTGAAGAAGAGCCTGCTTGAGACATTTTCCCTTTAGTATTCATCTGAGGTCCCAGGTCAATAATTTTGGCAGCTGCTTCCATTATGTGGGCCGCATTCTTAGTTGAAATGAAACCAGTGCTTTTGATAGGAGACAAAAGCTTATGGTGGGTAATGGGAATCGATTTAGCTGATTTAGGAGGCAAACTTTCAGTATGGAACTTCTCAATTGGTCTACTTATAATCTTTAGAGGTTTTGGCTCCAAGGCATTTCTAACAGGGGCATTCACCTTACTGTGCAGATTGTCAGTTTGCATGTTTTGATGCTCATGATGAGGGCAGTCTGGGTTTTTTCTGCGGTATTGAGCATCTCGAAGAGACTGGGAGTCAAAAAGTGGAGTAGAATAAGGCTCTGGAAAATTCAGCGTTGGCAACGAATCCAATCCCATAAGCCTTGCAACCACCCCTGGGGCCTTAGTAACAGAAAATTCCTCATCAGTTACTGACGAAGCACAACTGTAATCACTGCTTCCTTTGAAACTTGACCCAGCTACAATTTCATCCTCATCCATCTGAATATAAGAAAATTTTTAGGGGGGGGGGGGGTTATGGCAATTAATCAGCACATCTTATCAAGTAGTAAGATAAATTTTGAAGATAAAGATCAAATGACCATATTCCCACCAGATGAAGCCGTGTCATTGGCAAATTCCCATCACTTCTCTTTTTCTGCTTCAATTGCTCTACAGGGAATGCATGAGAGAAAAACATATTCAAAATTTGAGAAAACAAGGAAGAAAAGCTTAGAGAATGAATAATCACACACTCACCAACAGGCATGTGTGCATATCGACATTATGTAGGTGCAGAGTTCACTAATACCTGGTGAGTTGGACTTGCTGAAAAACAACTTCTTTTGCGATTTTGCCTTCCAATCGAAAAGCTGAAGGATGCCACCAACATAACCTACTCCACCACCTTTGGGACATTGTTTCTCAGCCCCCATATTTACGTGCAGAAATTAGCCCACTTCAACATTCACATACAGAATGAATAACTGCTGAGACAGACACTGTCCCGCCAACCAAAAGCCATCTGCAACTTGATTTATAAAGTGATTTAGTGCTCCCCAAAAGAAAAAAAAAAGACAACTGCTAAAAACAAACATTACTCCAGTGAACAAAACCCATCCGCAACTTCATCAAATACCTCAGGCAGATTAGTGTTGTTTAACATATTGTATTCTTCAAGCACACGTTTTTCCCAAACTAAAAATTATATCACTCCTATATACCCTAAGCTCTTCACCACATTTTCTACAAAGAACTATTACTCTTCTAATGGGTTAATTTTATCCATTACAGAAAGGGAATTTCACTTGATAATGCTTGAGGACTGTGCATCCAAGTATTTTTATGAGTTTAGTGATTCTGCAGTCCCTACAGTAATGGAATTAGATCAAAGAAATCTAGTTGCACTGCCATTGGTTGAGGTTTATATGACGATAACTACACTACATAAATGTTGCTAACGACTAATAAGTTGGCTTAAAAGTTAAAACAAATGGGAACTTCTGGTAACTCTTGAAATTTTCACACAATTTGTACCTAAAACACTGTCAACGATTGAAGTGGAAACCCGTGAGGTCCAAAAATAAAGAAAAAGGGCGTACATTGGTATGAGAATTTGCCATGCCTACCCTCCCATCAATTCTCATTATAGTTGTTTTCATCAATCCCTTTTCCTGTTCTTTTGCACTTGCATCAGTTCTCATTAGGCTATATTTCTCATACTACTACCAAAAATTTCAGGAATATATATCCAGATCTCTATCAAAGCCTTTCCTCAGCCTATACATTTGGTTTTTAATCCTTAAGAACCCAAATCCCATTGAAACTAACATCATTTGACACTCATAGTTATTGAGCATGAGAAGAACTATGAGCAACCAACTCTGTAAAAACTACAAAAGTTACAAATCCTTAAATGACTACTGACTTTATGCTTACCCAAATACCTAGACGTTCAAACTAATAGGTTCAAAGAGGAGAAAAAAGAATGAAAGCAAAAACTAACTTTATACACATTTGGTTACCAAGAAATTTGGTTTCTTTTCTATTATTTCACTTTCTCAACAACCAAACAGAACACTGACCAGGAAAACTCCAACTTAATTTAAGGAACAACAAGCGCCACGAGAGATAAAGAACAACTTCAATACCAACCAAACAGTAACTCCTGTCCACGGAACATTCAAACCCAGATAAACCCCAATTTTAATTTTTCGATCAAAAACTAACATAACAAACCCAAATCAACAAAAAAAAAACTTACATGATCCACGAGAACTAAAGCTCCAACATTGCCTGCTTCTGTCTCTCTCTCTCTCTCTCTGTGTGTGCTCTCAATGCTGGAAAACTTCTGGGTGGTAGAGCTATATACACAGAGAAACAATATAGAAAGAGGGTGTGTCAATATAGAGAGATTTAGAGATAGGAAGAAACTGAGAATGGAAGGTTTTTTTGGTCAGAGAGAGATAAGTGAAAAGCTATTGTCTTTCTTGTGTATAGTGAGGACTGTTGAGTGGTCGCTTAGTTCAAGCATTAAATGGAGACGACAGAAACATTTCGAAATTATAAAAGATAATTTTTCAAAAGATAAAAAATGTATACGGGAAAGGCAAATAGTAATTGGTTGCAACAGAAAAGGCTAAAAAGCTTCTAACGTCTCTTTTGCATAGAGGGAGAGATTTCAAATTCCAAACAGAGATTGGTGGGGTCCACACAACTGGGACAGAGATTATGTATTTCGCGGTATATGTTACAATAATGTTATAGTAGGTATATAGTTGACACGTATTTAATCCAGCCTTTTGAGAACCACATGTCATCGCCCCAACTACCGAAACAATGTTCAAATGAGGTTGGGTGTCCAAAGATAACGCTAATGATCCCGTTAATCTGGGACACACACGAGAAATTTATGCTTAAAAAATATCTTAATTTTAATGTAAATAATTATTTTTGAGCAAAATAAAGAGAGAATTAATTAAGATACGTATAAATTGAATCAAACACACCTAAAAAAAATTAATAGTTCAATAGTGAGTCGCCTATCTGTGTAGCAAACAAGACAGCTAAAACTTCAAACATGGGCAAAAATTGGTTCTTTGAGTTAATTTAGGTCAGCGATGTTCGATTTAGCTTAAGCACTTTTCGATTAATCTCCTCTTTAATTTTATCAAAAATAGATCATTTACGCATGGACTAGAATATTCATGAGAGAGATAAATTTCTCATAATTCTGACTCTAAGATGTTACCAAAGTTTAAATTCAAAACGTCTAAATTTACAATTCATTTCTGTTACTATTTAATCTATATTTATCCGAGTATTATTCCTAAGTTTAAAAGCCTACAAAAATATATATATATATTTCAACTGGCCCTTATCATTACTAAAGTAGGTTGTAAAGTGTTTTGTACTTGAGAGAAACAGATGGAATATTTGTTAAGGTGGTAGAAATTATATATGTCACCTTCACTTTCTGATTCTACATTGCATTATGTGTCATTTATTGATACATAGGCTATCAGATGGAGAATTGACTAGGAACTATGGAGAGGGCCAAGAAGTCAAATGTATAATATTCGAAATTTTGGGTTCGTGACTTTTTAATTTGAACATAACCACAATAGGTAACTCGATTTTCGGATTTAGTTATACTACAAAAATAAATTTGAGAAGATCCAAATTGAGTGTTATGAAGCCAAGTTTTGGCCCATCCACGACCATTCGTTTCTTTCACATACCACCATACAATGAACAATTAAAAACATCTTCAAACATGACTCTTACTCCAAAAATTCCTCATTTATCAATTTTCCAAAGTGTTCTTACTACTAGTTGTTACAACTTTTATTCTCACATCCATTGGCACACTCTTGAAGATTGAAAAGGACATAAACAGACTTGTGTGATCCCTAAACTTTGACAACAAACCAATCAAATTCCTTGATTTTTAGCCGTAAATTATCAATTTACTTGAATTATAATTGAAGAAACCTTTATGTTTGTTTCACAAAAAAAGATAATTGAAGAAAACTTCATTAATATTTCCAAACAGCAAAACATGTACAAGTAGTCAGATTCGTCGAAATCTCTGTTCCAACTCGCTCAATCAACCAGGGCTTGATCAATTACTCACTGTGACAAGTTGAAAGTTGATAGCAGATAAATAATTTAGGGAAAAAATCAAAAATAAATAGGTGCAGGAGCAGCTTAGCAGGAGTGAGAGCGAGGGAAGGCACGGCAAAGTATTGACTTCTTGTTCACCTTTAGAATTCTGAAGGATCCAATGTGACCACTTCTACAAGTAAACATCTAAAATGGGTTGAATTAAAATTCCTGGTATTAGCAGAATATTTGCCTTTTTTCTGAACTCAGCAAAGCACCTTTATTGGTTTAATTAAACACATCACCTTAAAAAGCAAGCAAGTTTGAGAACCTTGTGTGAAACTTTGAACATGAAGCCCAGACCCTAAAGAATCTCTAACCTTTAAGCAACCTTTGTTTCAAGCAATTCTAAAACTCTCTCTCCATAACTCTCTTACTTTTGTCTGGAAAAATTGAATCCTAAATCATCTTCTTCCATCTGAATTGAGCTTGCTTAGGTCCTCTTTCCTGATACAATACTGCTGCAGCAATGGCAGTGACACATGCTGATCTTAGACCAGGTCGTCGAAGCACTGAGTTGGGTAGCAAAACAGGTGCCTTTCTCATGGTCTTGTGCATACTCTTTGGCCTGTTTTGCTTCATTCTGTCTCTCATTGCTGAAGCCAGTCGTTCCAAGGTACTGATGACAGAATACAAGAAACATATTCACTTTGTTCATTTGCCTAATCAACCACTAATGACCTATACTGCCATGTAATGCAACGTTTTAGAGTGTGTGTTTGTTGGTGTTTATATGTCATAATAAATGATGATGATTTTGCAGGTGACTTGGGTGAGCACAAGAGAAAATGGGGAAGAAGAGAGATATGAATGTACATACAGTGGTAGTGGGAAGACCCCGCTTTTATGTGCAGCCAGTGCTTTCATGGCACTGGCAATTGCTATGGTGGTCCAACATACATACTTGTTGATTGCAGTGAGTAAATCAACCTCTTCTGCTCTAGTTACCTGGGACCTGGATTCTGATTTTGCCAAGACTCTCACTTGGCAAGCTGGGTTTTTCTTCGTCACAACTTGGTATATTAGTTTATCATCTTCAATTTTGAGTTTTGCATTTCAGAATGTTAAGTCTGCATCAATTTTAAACTATGCATTTTCATCAGAAGCTTCTCAGAGAGGAAACAAAAAGGCACAAAATTTCTTCAAATACCTGAAGGTTCTCCAACATTCTTATACCATATCATTAGATTTCAGGATTCAGTATGCAATTAAAACATGAAACCAGATTAACCTGAAACATTTGCATCAATTTTGAAGCATTCATTTGCATCAGAAGCTGCTAACTAGAACAGGTGGGAAAAAAAATTCACAACATTTCTTCTGAAAAAACCCAACTTTATAACTTGCTGTTCATCATTCAATCTATACTATCACAAAGTCACCGTCTTCAATTAAACTGCAGGATGTGTTTTGCTGTTGGAGAGATTTTGTTGCTAATTGGGATCAGTGTCGAATCAGGACATCTAAAGCATTGGTCAACACCAAGGTCAGGTTGCCTCATCATTGGACAGGGCTTGTTCTCGGCAGCTGGGGTGTTTGGCTTAGCCACAGTCTGCCTTGCTGCAGGCTTATACATAACAGCTTTACGTGCACAAAGACTAATCCAAGGACAGGAAAATGTGCGTCGTGAGGTCTGGGAAGCCTCGGCCCTCCACGCATCTCCACCAACGTCGCCTGGCCATCACCTCGCCACTGCTGCAAATGAGACTCCGATGATCAGGCAAAATCAGAATGATCAGCACTTATTGGCACATTACTTATCTGCTTTTGATAAGCATTCTAATTTAGTGTAGAATTTTCTATATCAAGCTTAGAGAAAATTGAAAACCTTATCCATATATTTATTAAACTGATTCCTTCAATCTTGTACATATAATTTTTTCTAGGACCTGGTTGACATTCATTTACTTTGAATACAAAGGGATAAGCTATTCTCATCAATGTTTTTTTTTTCCCTTCTATTGAATTGCTCCTATTTATTTGGATCCGTACCAATCTTATAAAAGCTTAAGTAAAATCAGAAAGAGATATTATGTCTTTTTTGGTCCTCGCTGTTCACCTTTGGAGACCTGATGTGGTCATGAGTATGAACGGGGGTGGGAGGCACTCGGTCCTCCGGATTTTCAAGAGCCGCCGGGTGCACCGGAGACACCACTTGACATGGAGTGCTTTTGCCGATTCCAGGGTGGGAGGCTGTTAAAAAAAGAAGATAATTCTTTTCTACTAACGTTTCCAAACTCTTAAGAATTTATTATCCAAAATAGTTACTCTGATAAAAAATTATGGTCAGTCAAGGCGTGCGTTTCACCCAAAAGACAATGGATTATTCGACATCCCGTATTGTTGAACTTACTAAAAAAAAAAAAAGGGATTTTGGTTAGTATCCATTCAGACAATCTATGCAAATTTTAATACCGATCTTTTTAAAATATTTTTCTACTTTCTCGAGTATGGATACTTGCTGCATTATAGGTTATCTTCGCCACCCTTTATGAGATAAGAGTCTTGGAACACACTCTTTTTTGGCTGGACAAGTTATACGATCTCAATTGTGTGATTAATGTGTGAATTTTGGGTTCATTTCAAAATATCCAATCTTCCATGAATAAAAATAGGAAATGCTGAATTGGAAAGATCTAAAAAATAGTGCGTTAAGCATCACAGCATTGAATTTCCTAAAAAGGACATGGACCCTCCAAAAAAAGCTTTAATAGTATTTTTAACCTCACCGAATAAATCAAGTAAAAAAAATGGACTAACCGTAAATTTAGACAGCCTAAATTCAAATATTGATAATTATTTGGGGCAAAATTATGAAGAATTTATCCCTCATTAATATCATACATCTGTACATGGATAACTCTGTCTTTAACCGAACTGGTGAAGAGATTAATTGAAGTACGTGTAAACTGGTCCGAACAAAAAAAGAAAAAGTTAATCTCACTTTGTTTCTCAAAAAATGTTTTAATTCTCAATTTACACTTTTAAATATTAAAAATCTTAATTTGTATCATCAATATTATGAATTGATAGTAATACATAGATTGTAATTCAATTTTTTATCATAAATTAAAATACGTAAGTTGCAATTACTTCGGGCATTAACTTATGTATAAATTTATAGATTATTGGCGAATCATGTAAGTTGTACATGGTATGGTTAACTTTTATTTGATTAATGAATTCTATTTTCAATACATAAAATATCATTTTTATGTGCGAAGTACTTACACTTCACGTACTTTAATTTATTATAAAAAAATTGAATGACAGTCTGGGTCAGATCCACATTACTACCAATTCATAACATTGAGAATGTAAATTAAAATTTTTAATGTTTGAAGGTATAAATTGAAAATTAAAATATCTTTTAGGGTACAAAGTGAGATTAGCCAAAAAAAAAACAAATAGTATTTTTGACTCTTCGGTGCGCTTTCGAATTCAAAGTTAGTGCGGTACAGCCGTAAATAACCCTCAAAAGCAAGCCCTATTGTACCTCATTCACCCCTCTTTTGATTTTAAATCACACTATAAAAGTAAGAGTCCTTCAGTAATCAAAACACTTTCTTCCCCAATCCCAACTCTCTCTTCGATCAGGTATGTAGATGCATACATACGTGTACGTCAATTTGAGCTTCTCTGTGTATCATCAATTGATCAATCGATCCATTTCTTATATATATATATATATATATGTGTGTATATGGATCTGAATATACAGTGAAATTAGGGTTGTGATAAGAGTGATCATTGTAGAATTGAAACGATGTCGTTGAGGCCGAGCGCTAGGACCGAGGTTCGCCGGAACCGGTACAAGGTGGCGGTGGATGCGGAGGAGGGTCGGAGACGGAGAGAGGATAATTTGGTGGAGATCCGAAAGAGCAAACGCGAAGAGAACTTGCTCAAGAAGCGTCGCGAAGGCTTGCAGGCACAGCAATTTCCCACCTCCATTCAGGCCTCCACCGTTGAAAAAAAGGTTTTATTTATTGCAAATTTTCGTATTGTGCTGCTTAAGACAAATCTCCTTCTCTGAACTACCCTGTGGGGAAAAAAAAAGGTCTCTTGCATCTTAGCCTATTGCCATGCGTACACTTGCGTATAGATTTGTACGTGTCTTGTCTATTTGTATTGCGGAACTGATGGATTATTGTCGATTGGTTAATGGATTGAAATTTCGGGGGTTTTATGGCTCGTTTTAAATAGGTATAGGGGTAAGATTTTGGAAATTATAGTGGAATTTTAGCGCTTTGATTGTTTTTTGATTCTATACTAATTGGGTCAATTATAGTTTTGAGTTACCATTTGATTAAGTTTAATGGTTATTAAACTTTGGTGATTGATATAGACAAGTTTGAGCTTGATTGTTGAGCTAGTTTTTTTTTTTGTTCGGTTCATCTATATGAAGTGGGTTATCTGGGGTTTATGTTGGTGTTGGGGTTTATGTTGGTGATGGAAACTTATCTTTGGTGCAGTTTCAATAGGGCACTTTAATAGAATGTGTAGGGATATTTAAATTTCAATGGTTATTGGTTGGAGTGCAGTTAGAGAGCCTTCCATCTATGGTTGCCGGGGTTTGGTCAAATGATAGCAATTTGCAGCTGGAGGCGACTACACAGTTCCGTAAATTACTTTCAATAGGTATGAACAATGCTCTTGTGTATGCTTTGTCCGAAGATAAGTTTCCATCATGTCATCAGTACCAGTAAGTATAACTTTTGAAATTTGGTGGACAGAAAGAAGCCCTCCAATTGAGGAAGTTATACAATCTGGGGTGGTTCCTCGCTTTGTTGAGTTCCTTATGAGGGAAGATTTCCCACAGCTCCAGGTCTGAAGTTGTTTTAAGTGGCATTCTAGTCTGGTTGATATTTGGTTTCATATTTATCTGTATATTAGGTTTTTGAATGTTCTACAGTTTGAGGCTGCTTGGGCACTCACAAACATTGCTTCTGGAACCTCGGAGAATACCAAGGTGGTAATTGATCATGGGGCAGTCCCAATCTTTGTGAAGCTTCTAGGTTCTTCAAGTGATGATGTTCGCGAGCAGGTAAACTGTCAGAGTTATCCAACCCTTTCTTTGTTCAAAGGTTGTGTATTGATCGGAACTATGCAACACAGGGTCTCTGTTTAACCATTTCTTAAATTATAGGCTGTGTGGGCATTGGGAAATGTTGCTGGTGACTCCCCTAGGTGTCGTGACCTTGTCCTTGGCTATGGAGCTTTAATTCCTTTGCTAGCGCAACTGAATGAACATTCCAAGCTTTCAATGCTGAGAAATGCCACATGGACGCTATCAAATTTTTGTAGAGGCAAGCCACAACCCGCTTTTGAGCAGGTTGTTTATTGATCTGTGTAGTTTTGAGTTCAAGTTTTCTTGTAGCTGTTTAATTCGGCATATATAAACTTTCGGTATTCCTTTTGTCAGACACGGCCAGCACTTCCAGCCCTTGAGCGTCTTGTTCATTCAAATGATGAGGAGGTGCTGACAGATGCCTGTTGGGCCCTCTCATATCTCTCTGATGGTACAAATGACAAAATTCAAGCCGTGATTGAGGCAGGTGTTTGTCAACGACTTGTTGAGCTGCTCCTGTGAGTAGCATTTTGTTTACTCTTTGTTTGAGCCCCTATTTCCATTTAATTTCTAAGTTTGTTTTGATTTTTTTTTTTTTGGTGAGAATAATTTTGAGAACATAATAGATATGTTTTTTTTTTTAATGTTTCAGTCATCCATCTCCTTCAGTGCTCATTCCTGCGCTTCGCACGGTTGGGAATATTGTGACAGGGGATGATGTCCAGACTCAGGTATGGGCTTGGTGCTTTAAATGTTTTACATTTTACATCCTTGAGAACCTTGACTATTCTCATAATTTGGAATCAAGTCCTTGAAAATCTGCAATCTCTTTTCACGCTTTTTTGAGATTACATGTCACTGATCATATTTGGGTATACCTTTTTGCTTTTATTGTATCTGAATTGAAAGGATTTTCTTTCTCCAGCGTATAATTGACCATGGTGCGCTTCCGTGTCTGTTAAGCCTGTTGACCCACAATCATAAAAAGAGTATCAAGAAAGAAGCTTGCTGGACAATCTCAAACATCACTGCTGGAAATAAGGAGCAGATACAAGTAAGTCTGTAGATCTATTTAAATTTTGAAAGATCTATCTATACTTGAATCATAATCACAAGGCTCTTCTTTGAATGTATAATTTATACACGATAGTTCTGATTGCTTACTGGTTAAGTCTTGTAAAAACCTCACTTCCTCAACTTTTTCCTGAAAATTCTGTAGTTTCATTTCCATGCATACGACCCAAAATCTTGCCATAAAGCACATCCCTACAATTTTAGAGTCCTGTTTGTGATCCCAAAGCCATAAAAAGGGTCTCTAAGGGCCCCAGATTAATTTATACTGCTTTATGTACCATGTTTTGGTCCAGAGTTTAAATTGAATGCTGCTTCTGATGCATCTGTCTTCAGCTAAATTTTGCTTTGTTATGTGGCTAATGCATATTTTCCAAACTCATTGAATATATTTTGAAACAACAGGCTGTTATTGAGGCAGGGTTAATCGGTCCTCTGGTCAGTCTGCTTCAAAATGCTGAGTTTGACATAAAGAAAGAGGCTGCATGGGCAATCTCAAATGCAACATCTGGTGGCACTCATGATCAAATCAAGTATGTCTTCTTAAGCAATTTGTTCTGTTACTTACCTTAAATCTCTTTCCTTAGATGTGCATTTTAACAAGTGGGCTGTTATGTGGGTATAGGTACTTGGTGAGCCAAGGCTGTTTAAAGCCTTTGTGTGATCTCCTTGTATGTCCTGATCCAAGGATAGTCACTGTTTGTTTAGAAGGGCTAGAGAACATTTTGAAGGTCGGTGAAGTTGAAAAGAACTTGGGGAGTACTGGCGATGTTAATTTGTATGCCCAATTAATAGATGATGCCGAGGGGTTAGAAAAGATAGAAAACTTGCAGAGTCATGATAACAATGAAATATATGAGAAGGCAGTGAAGATTCTCGAGACTTATTGGTTGGAGGAGGAAGATGAGACTTTACCTTCTGGTGATGGTGCCCAGCCTGGGTTCAACTTTGGAGGAAACGATATTCAGCATCCATCTGGCGGATTTAACTTTGGATGAAGGTGAGCACACCAATCTTCAAGTTTACTGTTTGCCTTCGTTTTTGTTTGAAAGATGGCCAGACTTTTTTTTTTTTTTTTTTTGTGGGAGGGGGAGGGGGTTGATGCAATAATCTTAGTGTTTATATAGTTTGAAGGCATTGAGCACTTATAAACATGCAACATGCGTGAGCCTATCCTGTATCAGTGTCAATATACATGGCTAACAAACTGGTAAAACTTGCAGAAGTTTCAGTTTGGTGGACGGAGCTGCTCAGGTTGAAAGGAACAGCTTATATGTTGGCGTCGCGTTGCGTCGGGTCGGGTCGGAGCACCTCACTGTGTCTGGTTTCGGTCTAGGTCCAGTGTCTGTTGTGGTTGAAGAGGTGCCAAGGTTGGTCAGTTTATAATACAATTGTCAAATAAAGGTGGTGTGACCGTGTTTAATGGTGAAATAGATGGCCTGGTGGGTGCATTGTTTGGTCCTTTGCTTTGTACCATGCATATTTTGGAGAAGTCACGAGGGGATGGGTGTCGCTTGAGAGTATTTTCTGAATGCTGGTCTTTTTTAATGAATTTACATCTTAGTTGTATTAGTAGTCTCGAAAGAGTCGGTATTCTTTTTGCTGTTGCTGGGTGAACATAGTTTCTGCATCTTTTTTTATTACCTGGTGTAGTGCATGAAAGAAAAGAAAGAGGTCTTATTTTCCGGTGTTATAACCGTTGCAAGTTGATATCTATTTTCAAGTATTCATTAGATTTCTTTCCTGTATGGCAATATTAGTTTTAAATGTCGTAGGACCGATGCAAAACATTGTGTGGTGTGTTCATCTTGAACATTTTTTTCGCTTGATTTTCTTCTGCAACGGTGGTGAATAACCTTGGAGGATAGCTTATGGTTGAACACTGATGCACATGAACACCACCCATTTTGATATAGACAACTTGTCGATGGTGTTGTGTTGGAAAGTCAGTTTTCTTGTTCTGAATACCGGTGAAGCCAATGAACATTTGGAACTTGCTATGAAACATGCTCAGGCGCCTCCCAGGAACCCAGAACCAGAAGGTACTCGAGGAAAAGGTACATGATGGTGTTTTTACATAATCCTGCCTGCTGGACCCAAATGGTTCGCCGATAATTCAATGATTATAAATAATTAAATCATCAAATTAGATCTAAATAACATTATTGCTATTGAAAACAGCTTATTGGATGTGATCTAAGTACAGATTAGAATAATGCGATACAAATGTGGGCCAAGTACAAACAGCTTGTTGGACTACCACTTTTCCCTTCCCCTTTCCCCTCACATCCATCTAAACTCATTCTTCCATCAAAACCTATTTCACCCATCTATTTATCTCTCTCTCAACCAAAAGGAAAAAACCATTCCTCCAAAATCCATTTCTGCAAAAAGAATCTATTTTTCTATTGCCCCTATACCTGGAGATTTTGGGGAGAGAGAGAGACTGAAGCTTTTGGACCCAAACCCATGGTTACAGCCGCCATGACAACTCCCTCTCCCTCCAACGCCCTCACCCGCCAATCCTTGCACCTCTCAACTCGACAACCACACCCAATTAAATACATCTTCAACCAATTATATATATATATATATATATACCCCATAACCAGAGATTTTGAGTAAAGGGAGGGAGAGAGAAAGAGACACTAAGGGTTTGTTTGGTTTGTGTTTCAAAAAATAGTATTTGAAAACAGTTTTTAAAAAGAGTTTTAAAAAAGTTTGTTTTGATATTTTCTGAGATAAAAACCTTGTTTGGTTAGATGATTCAAAAAATAATTTTACAGAACAGAAAACATTAAAACATGTTTGGATAATAATTTAAAAATTAATAAAAAAAATATGATAAAGTAATTTTTAGATGGACAGTTTCATAAAAAAAAAGTTTCAATAAACCAAACTTTAAAATAAACCAATTTATATTTAAATTTTTAATATCATCAACAACAATAAAGTTATTTTATTATAGTCTGATCGTCAAAAATTTAAATTGTGAATTTTTTTTTTTTTCATATGGGAGGAAAATTGCATACTTCTATCTCTTCTCAGACCTCAAAATGAGAAGAAATTTGTGCCCTACGCTGTTTTTTTTTTTTTGAGATTTGTGTTAGAACTGGTAAAATTTCAAGAGGAATTTGTTGGAAGTCCTATTTTGTAGGACCAAAACGGGAATCAAATAACTTCTTTCTTTCTTTTTTTTTTTTTTTGGGGGGGGGGGGGTTGAAATTATAACTAAGTCCTAGTTAATTTATATTTAAAGAGCATTGTTATTTAAACTAAATTTACTAATTTAATTCTCTGATTAATTCACTCATATCGTTGGATTACCAACAACGACTCCCAATATAACCGGAATAGTTGTCATATTCATAAATTTGAACAAAAAATTGGGTTCATATAATATTGATATTGTTATGTAGAGGCAAATGAGTATTTTAACAGCATATAAGTAGTTTAAACGATAACATGAAAATACTCTAAATTTAGATGTCTTAAGTTTGAATTTTGGTAATCTCTTGAATCTAGTCATTAGGGATTTATTCCTTATGAATACTAAAGTTCTGGTGTAGATGGTATACCTCAAAAGTTATAATTTTTTTAGTGTGGTTATAATTTTTTTGGGTAGAATTATAACATTTTTTACAATGTTGTAACTTTTGAGGTGGGGATTACAACTTTTTTAGAGTGAAGTTAGAGGTTTTCTCCAAACCCAGGCCTCCTAAAATCTTAATTTCAAAATTCAGTCAGTTTTGAACTTATTTTTCAAATCCAGTTTTTTTTAAAAAGGTCATTTGAAATGACGTTTTTAAATGTTAAAACGTCATGTGAAATGACGATTTAAAGTTGAATTTTTTTTCCTTAAAACGTCATTCTTAATAACGTTCTTAAAATCGTCATTTATAATGACGTTTTTAAACATTAATTTTTAAAAGGCCGCTAACCGACGTTAAAAAAAATAAAGGAGGTCAAAATATCATTATAAGTAACATTTTCTGGCCCTTATAAACATTTCTGCCCCCTTTATTCACAATGACTTTTCTGCGACTTTATTAACAATGACGTTTTTTACCCCTTTATTTATAATGAAATTTTAAAAACGTCTTCTTAATATTTTACAATGACTTTTTCTTAGCCAAAAGTCTCCAACCTACTTGTTGTAAATTTCATAAAAGCTAATTACTCTACCTAATTTCTCACATCATGATTCACGAGACAAATAAATAAATAAATAAATAAATTTTAGAATTTAATTCTATTTTCATAATAATTTTGAACTTATTTTATAATTGAAAATAAAATTCATAAAAGAATAATTTAAAAAGAGAATGATCGAAGTTCTCTAACTGAATTCTCCAGCCAATTCTAGTACATATTAAACCCAACTATTAAAATTTCAAAGGCATTTTAACTTTAAACAAGTCATCATGAATTTGATTTATTTCACCTACTAGTTAAGTAGTTATTCTTCAATAGCAATGCTTCCTCACTACATCACAAATAGAGGAGACTTGAAGCTTTATTTATGATGATCATATACCTCAAAAAAATAAAAAAAGAAGCAACAATACCACCCATTTCTTGTACATTTTGAAGCCGCGATAAATAAAATTCAATATTTCATTATTTATCATTATATAAGTGTACCCCAAGCCATATAACGACAAGCACTAATAATAGCCTCCATGCAAAAAAGTTATACATCATCATACAGGCTGTATGTACAAAACCCAGTTCCATTCATCTTCCTCTGTCAAACTCTTCACAAAACATATTGTAGCCAAACCACTCTCTAACCCTTTTCTACTTTCATCCTCCTCTTTTTCTTCACTATATTGTATGTTAGGTGTATTGCCTGTATGGCATGTTGTTCAAGGATTGTTTTCTGCAAATATATCCAACTGAGAAAGAGCCTGCAAAATCCAAAACCAGACCAATAATTTAGCAGACTGTACATTATAAAGTGTTTTAAGCAAAAAACTTGTTAAGGAAATGTTGAGTAATTATCTCTGGAATGTTTAGCTCAACTCGAAACATGGAGTTGTTCTTACTTACACGATCTCGTAGAAGATGAAACCATTTTGAATGCCAGAAAAAGTTAATTAAGATTAAATGACCCAATAAATTGCTACCGTGTCGTTGAAAGAGGTTTAGAAATTAATGCCCGAGGCTTGATACTAGACATGAGTTCCTCAACATTCCAAAACATTGTTTCGTATGTAACATATTAACAGTAAAAGCCCATGCCTATATCTAAGGATAACAAAACACTAATGATGATGTATCCTTCCTTACTTGCAATTAAGAGCCTATAGAAGTTTACAACAATCCCTTTCATCTAGGAATATGACACGAAGTAGGGAAAAATAGGAATATGACATGAAGAAAATGGTAAAACTATGGGGTATAGTAGTTCCAATATATTTGTTTAGTCTGTCGTTGATTTGATAATGTAGGTGCTTTTAGAATCCATTCAGCCTAATTTATATTCATCATCCACAATAGTAATAGAAGAAAATTACCCAGCAAAATCTTTTAATTTCTTCTACCGGTCATTTTGATCTTTCGATTTATCAATCTCCTCTGCGACAGTATTTATTGGAGTATCTGTAGTTTTAGCTGCAAAAACAAAACATCATTTTCAAATCGCAAAATTCAGATAAGTTATTGAAAGTAGAATCTACAAAAATTGTATACTGTAAAAAGTTTTGAAATTTATTTCCCATACATGATGTCTGAAAATAGAAAAAAATGGCAAAGCAACTTAAATTTTGTCATCTATGTGCGCACATAAATAAATGAATTGCAAAATATGTCTAAAGTAATAAAGCAACTATGACAATTCATAATTCATCTTGCTAATCCATAATTGCAACTTATTTATAGTATATGACAATTTGAAATTATACAAGAACATTTATGGCCATTTGCAGTATAATGTTGTGTGAACCAAAGTACACATTAATTAATTCACTCTTTTCTTTTAATGAGATGCTAATAGCAATAGGAGATTGAAGTCAAAAGAAACATTCATGTTTACTCAGTATAAATGACTATTGACCTGGGCATCCAGAGCACATAAAAACAATATACAATTCCAAAGAGGCATGTAAGTTCAATCAACACACAAGTTCAGAAAAAAATTCTTGAAAGATCATTCTCATTCTATATAATTAATCAAACATTGAACTAGAAGAGTGCCAGGAAACATCTCATGCGAAGATCAACCATCGAGCAACAATCAGTATAGATTCATTGTAATTAAGTAAAAAAAAATCTTAATTAAAAATACATCCAAATTGTCAATAAAACTAAAATTTATTTCCTAAATTGTAACGAATACACCTTAATTGCAAACTATCCACCCAAAATTAGCAGCATAGACAATATGGAGAATTGGTGTTTTGGATCGATTTAGGGCAAGAGAATAATTTCTTGTGAATATATACTTGTCTTGATGATTGCAACTTTTATCATGAGCTTATCAAATTTATGATAGACTAAATGATAACTTGTTGACAATGTTAACAGAAATCACCCCCTTCCCCTCTATCTCTCTCCCTCTCCAGTTTTCTCTTTTACAATAAGGTGTTGCATGATTAACTGAGGTTAAGTCTGATATCCCCATCAAAAATTATTCTCTTACCCTATATTCACCAGAAATTAGGGCAAAAATCGATTTTGGGAAAAATCGATTTAGGCTGGAATGGAGAATGGAGAATGGACTCACTGGTGGAGGATGTGCTCACTACTCAGTTGGTGGTGGAGGCTGTGCTCATTGCTAGAGGATATGGTCAGTCTCTTTGTTGAAGTCGTTGGTGGAGGTAGTGCTCGCTGGTGGAGGATGTGCTTGCTGATGAAGGCTGTGGTCGCTGGTGGAGCTATAGATTAAGCTTAGATTTGACAAGGTTTCGATGGTCTTCATCGTCGAAGCCAAATGTTGTTCAATGGTTGGAGCTCGTTGGAGACTTCAGTTAGCTGAGAGTGGTTGAGAAGAAGGAGAGCTAAGAGTCACTGGAAGAGGAGGAGAGTTGAGTGGTTGAGATGTTTGAAAATTTTTGACCTATAGCCTGTGATTTGGGAAATTTTAGTGCTCTTATTTAACGTTTAAATCGTCATTGTAAATGACGTTTTCAACCCCTTTATTTCTTTAACGTCTGTTAATTCCCGTTAACAAATTCATGTTAAAAAACGTCATTACGAATGACGAATTTAAAAATGTCATTGTGAATGACGTTTTTAATAAAAAAATTTCAATGTTAACTCGTCATTTCAAATGACGTTTTCAAAAAAAGACTGAGTTTAGTAATTATGTTTAAAACAGACTGATTTTTGGAATTAAGTTTTGAGGGGGTTGGATTTGGAGAAAACCTAGTGAAGTTACAACATTTGGTATTGCGTTATAAATTTTTTGGTGGCATTACAACTTTTGGGGATTTGTTACAATTTTTTGGGGGTAGAGTTACAATTTATTTGAGTTAGGTTACAACTATTAGATTGAATTATACTTTTTTTATATTGAGTTACAATTTTTTTGGGTTGTGTTATGCACTTTTAGTAGGCATTACAATCTTTTAGATGAAGTTGAATTGCAACTTTTGAAGTAGGGTTACAATTTTTTTAGAATAGGGTTATAACTTTTTTAAATTAAATTATAACTCTTGAGATGAGATTATAACTTTTTCAAGTTGAGTTACAATCTTATGGAATGGGGTTACAACTTTAAATTAAGGTATAACTTTTGATTATGTATCTATCACATTAGAGATACGTTACCACTTTTTTAAAACGAGGTTATTGGATTATGGTAGTCAAACCCGACTCTTTCTTTGATTACTATTTCAGCAGCTAATGGGTATCTTGTGAAGTGATCAACGGCTAGAAATCATTAAATATTAAATCAATGGTGTCAATTACTTTGGCAGTAAGTTACCAAGAAAGGAACCATGTAATTAATGTAAAGCCTAATCTGGTATGTAATTAATGTAAATTGTCATTTTCTCACCAAATAGTTCCATATTAATAAGCTTATGGATCCCATGAATGAAACCCAGAAAAAAGTTCAGTTCTCTCCATAATCCCATAGCATAAAAGCACAGATCCATGCATTGAATTGAAGACCACAAAAAAGCTATGAAGAACCAACTTTTCTCTAGTGATGAAGATCAAACTGAGTCACTAAATTCACCCTTCTGCTGGTGGAGATCAGCACCAGAAGTGAATGAAAATGGCCATTTCAACGTGGACATTTCTGATCTCTCAAACCTCACACCCAGACTCAAAGTCCTCAGAGAAATGGAGAGGTTGGCCTTGATTGCTCCTGAAGGGCTCGTCGATCTTCGCCATAAACTCATAAACTACCGGTCCGGCGACCTTTGGTTGCCTGTTGGTGGAATCAAGAAAGAAGAAATTGATATACCTCCGATCATCACCCTTCTTCTTGTGGGTCTCTCTGGTTCTGGCAAAAGCTCCCTTGTCAACTTGATGTACTGCGTTCTGAGTCGTTCTGGTCTCATCCCTTTCGCTCAAACATCAAGTATGTTGTGAATCAGATCATCTCTCTCGCTCTCTCTCTACATATATACAATGTATGTATTTTCTATTGGTGGAGTATCCAAAAGCTCACTACAGCAAAAAATATTATTTGTTGCGATGATTTTTTTCGCCACTAAAAGTAAAAAATCATCGCTAATTATTTTTTGTGACTTTATTTTTTTTCGTCGCAATAGTCTCGTAGAAAGTATTTCCTGATGGAAATTTAATTTTATCGCAAAAAATTTTTTTTTGCGACGAAAAAAAAAAAAGTCGCCAAAAGTTAAAAAAGTAGCTAAAACCTATTGCCAGCATAAAAATATTAAAATAATAATTAAATTAATTTTTCAGGACACAAATAAATCGTCGTGAAAATTTTTTTAAATAAAAAATGTTAAAAATATTAATTAAATTAATTTTTCGCGACGTAAATAAATCACCGGGAATACTTTTTACATAAATTAAAAATAATAAAAATATTAATTTAATTAATTTTTTGCGACTTAAATAAATCGTCGCAAATAAATTTTTATAAATAAAAATGAGATATATAATAATTTAATTTATTTTTTTGGTGACGTAAAAAAAGCGTCGCAAATAATTTTTATAAAAATTAAAAATATCAAAAATAATAATTTAATTAATTTTTTGCGAAAGAATAAAATTCATCGCAAATAATATTTTAATAAAAAATTTAAAGAATAATTTAATTAATATTCGCGACATAAAAAAATCGTCGCAAATAATATTTTTAATTAAAAAATCTAAAAAATAATTGAATAAATATATTTGCGACGTAAAAAGATCGTCGCAAAAAAGGTTCATACTACAATTTTTGCGACGATTTTTATTTCGTCGCAAAAAATTTCATACTTTTTTATTTGACATAAAAAAATAATTTTTTAATAAAATTTTTCACCTGTACACCAATAATACCTGTGTTCAATAAAAACTAATATAATTAATACATTTAACATCTTTTTTTAAAAAAATAAAATTTTATTTCTAAAAAGAATGAATTACAAGAATCAAAGAACAAAAAGTTCTAAAAATAAAAAAAATAACTTTAATCATTTAAGAGAATTTAAACCATTTGTAATTACATTTAATGTCTCTTAAACTTGAACAGCTCCAGCAGTCCAGCTCCATGCATTGAAATATCATCTCTAAGTTCAATAGTATCCAAGATCTATATTATCAAACTGACCACCACACACAACCTTCCTCCTCCGAACAATAAGGATCCTGGACTGATCCTGATGCAAAACCAACCACTACGAGAAGGCTACAGTAAAAAAGTCCCAATGTTATGATAACTAGACTCTAGATATTATAAACTATAGTAGATGTGAGGTAATGCCTTACTCGCTCCAAGCCGCTGCAACAATGTTTAATACTCACAGACCTCGTGTTAACGTTAAGTGCATCAGGAATTCATATTTTCTGTACATTTGTACAAACAAATATTACCCATGCAGATCAAAGACAGAATTTTGCAGGATTCACCAAAGATTTCCCCAATGAAAAGCTCAAAATAAGAAGTTACCATTAACAAAGCAAATAAATTAACATACTATGAATTTTAGAACAATGAAAAGGTAATTAGGAAAAATACCTTTACAATGATTATGGCAATCACACCACAGACAATCAGCAAACGAAAAAGCATGATGCATTTATCTGTTGCCACATGGAAAAATCTGGGGTTTAGTTTGTCAGCTAGAAGAAACACACTCAATATAGTGGAACTAAAAACCTACCTGCCTACCAATCTCCTTCACAAGCTGGGAGGCCTTTTTAATAGAGAACTGAATTGTATTCAGTTCATTAACAATACGACCCATTTGCTCAGTCTGCACAAGTTTGAGATTTAAGAGAATAAAGAGATCAGAGATGGCAAAAAGCAAGACCAACACAAAATGGAGACGACTGGTGATTTATACTCACTTGGCCTTTCAGGGTAGTAGCAGTTTGGGTTCCCACTTCTATTGTTTGGTGAACAACCTAGTGATCAATTGTTAGTTTAGGATAAAAGTAACAACAAAATATAAAGACATGTCAAAGTTAATCATTCACCTGTTTGGAGAGTTCAATGGCTTGATCAGTTTCATCCATTGTCTTCATCCCAGCATTAACAAGCTCCTGATTTGACATAGCTACAGGGCAACCCATAAAAGTGAAGAACTATGGCTATGTCTAGTAATTACATGTATACAGATTACAGAAGATCCAGAAAGTATACATCATTTTAATTAACGCTCATCAGATGATTTTTGGCTCAAGTCCAATATAGGCATAGATATTCTCAAAGGTGCCAACCCCAAATAGTTGGGATTAATAACCTTACATTATGATTAACATTTCAAATATTTGTTGTAACACAAATTTTCATTACTCGGAATAAATCACTTTGAACAGAGAAATAGGTCAAGGACAATGATTATATGTATGTATATAACTATATAGGTAAGCATATGCATATAGACACAATGTCTCATTTTCACCTCCTGCACTCACTCCACAGATAAAGTTTTCAAGGATCTTAACTCTCCACTCTGCATTTTGGAAAAGGTCAAACCTTCTACACATTTAAAGGAACTTAAAAGTAACTTTTAACTTTGACTTTCCTAAAGTTATACTCTTGCTTAAAACCAAAAGAAAGCCATATCCCAACTCTAAAAAATTTTCAGTCAAATGTTGGGCAGTCTCAATGTCCAAAATCATAAATTTTATTTTAGATTGACACCCCCACGAGGGAGTTTTGACATGTCAGGAGTGTCCTGAAACTTTCAAGCGCTTGATTTCTCTTGCTTGTAGGTGGATCTTCAAATTACACTACTGTGTATCTGGAAGAACATAACGTTTTGAGATCAATGAGAAATGGGTTTTGCGTGTATGACACGAGGGGATTCGATTGTAATGAAATGAGCGAAGGTCATGAGGAGTTTTCAGGATGGATGGTTGATGGAGTTCGCCATAACCAGGCCTGTTGCAGAAGAAGAGATGAAAAGCTCAGTGGATGTGATGGTGTCATGGCTGCTCCATCAATGGGGCCAGCATTATCCCAGACAAGGTTTTGTAAGAGACGAGTCAACTGTGTGATGGTTCTGGCTAACTTGGAAGAGATTTACAAGGCCTTTAATTCTGGTGATTTGAAGCCATTAGAGGCCACAAGAGACCTCTTCCACTGCCCTTCCATGAGGAAATCCAGTAACTTCGTCAAACTCCCTTTCTATTTCCTTAAGATGTATTTTTTTTTTAGGTTCGTCGGGGGTGTTTGGGGAGTTTACGCACGTCACAATTAATTCTCCACTTGATTCGATTCAGTTAAAAACAGGTCATTTACACCAGAATTAAGGTATTTAGGGATAAATCGTTTATAGCTTTATTTTTTTGGAATTACCAAAATTTGAACTCAAAATATCTGTGTTCACGTTAACTTAACATGTATTTGTGTGGATACTTATATTACATATTGATTGTTCTGGGAACAACAATATTGATATCAGGTTTAATATCATATCCAAAATTACAAAGATTAGTTAATCAAGTTAGATTTCAAAAAAATCAATTACGTTTCAACTGGGGCTAGATTACCACTAAAAGATTAGGATTGATTTGAAATGATAGAATTAGTCGCAAATGATTTCATTTTATCACTTCATTGATAGTAACATAACTCTATTAAGTTGTAACTTTCAATGTCGTACTAACAGGCTTGGTTTTTTTTTTTGGTAAGCTCGCGTATGATTGAGTCATAACATTACCTAATTAAGACTCACTCAACTTTTGATACGGTGGTATCTTTCTCTTTTCTCCTTTGTCAAACACAATCTTCTGTTGCACTTTTGAGATTAAAAGCTGACATGTATGAGCATCTTCTTCTTGTATTGATGCTTCTAATAATGGCAGATGAGAACCCTATCCTGATACTAACACATGGAGATAGGTTAACCACTGATGAGAGGATCAACGGCCGGCTGATAATATGTGAATATCTGGGTGTATCAGAGACTACAGGTGCATATGATATACAATGTCTAACAGAGCAGGGAATACTACCGGAGGAATCAGACCCAATTACTGCATTTGCCATAATTGAAGCTCTTTATAGGGCATTGATGCAATCAGACAGGACCCATCTTCCCAAGAGAAAGCCTATAGACTGGGTAATGCTCTGTGTGTCATGGTTCATGTGCTGCCTTGGTTCCTTCTTTGCCATGCTTGCACTGCTCTTCTCTAAACTGGGTCGTAAAAATGAACTGAAGATGTGATTCATAAGGGGGAGAGAGAGAGAGAGAGAGAGAGAGTGAGGTTGGTTGTGGGAAAGGTCTGCTGTTGAGGCTGTGGGGTTGAACTTTCTAATTTGTTTTTGGAATGATGTTACAAGTTGTTTTGTTGATAAGATTTCCATGTGGAAGTTCTGAAGAGCTTTGATAACGTGGTGGGGCCTCATCACCATAACTTGGGCTCCATCATCTTGTTCTGTCTATTCACATGGATTTGTTTTGCTTATAAGTATGTGCTTTGGGAATTTGAATGTGATACAGGTGTTTGAAATGTTCTATTGTAGGTTTGAACCGGCTAAATTATAATTATGGAAGTGTTTTTTTGTGATAATATTAATCTTGGCCTAATGAAATGTTTACTTTTTAAAAAACTAAAGTGTTTAGTTTGATATAAAAAAACATTAGTATTTTTAATTCTAATCTCAATCCAACTATTTTAATATCACTCCCAGGTGGGTTTCAATAACCCCATGTACATGGGGGTTAATGTTGACTCATCAGTCTTGTAATCTCACTCGAACATGTAACTCGTGATTGAATATAAAGATTGACAATTATTTTCCAGAGGAGAGAGATATAGAAAGAAGGAATGACAGTTTGTTTTTGAACCAATACAACTTTTGGAACAATTGTGATTGTCAATCAACTATAAATATTAGTTGATGAGGGCATTGAATGGTTGGTTCAACTCTTTGGGTTGATTTAACCTCTAGGAATGGTTAAGTGGTTGAACCTTATATTCAATAACTCAAAGATTTTAAGTTTAATCTCTTTCTTTACCTTTTAAGAATTAGTCACATTTGTTTCAAGTCATGGTAGTAGTTGCTAAGTTTGATAGAGTAGTTAGAAACCCTCTGTAATAAAAAAAAATGATTATTTCAATTTATATTTATTCTTATCCAGAGTTTGGCCAATTTTCCCTCTTATTGTATCCCTCGAATTTTTTTCCTTGAGATTGCAATGTGACCCCTTGTCCAACGATAGGTCATCGCCAATGTTGATTCACGTGTCTGGGACTAATTAAAATTATATCAGATGTTAATAGCTTGAGACAGTTTAAAATAATGTCGTCCGTCGGATTATGCATTTCTTGATCACCAAATGATCTAGGTCACTCTTTGTCTCTTAAATTCAAAATCGTTCTATTTTATTTTATATATATATATTAAAAAAAATTTAAAAATTAAAAAAAATATTTTTTCCATCTTAATTAAGGGTAAAAATTTTCGACTCAATACGATAACACGATTCAAACTCCATACAAAAATAAACAGGTCAAGTCGCAACTCGATACGACACAATTAGTTAAATGAGTTAAGTTAAGTTTGATTAATATTCGACACAAACATGTAATGACTCAACACGAATCTGACACGATACGATTTGATTGTCACTCCTAATTTTTAGCCAACACAAAAAAAATAGTCATTTTTATTTTTCATCCATTCAACTAAACACAAAAGAATAAAAAATGTATCATTCCTTCTTTTCATCCTTAAATGATAGAAAGTGTATCCCTCCTATTTTTCATCTTCTCTACCAAATGCAACATTAGGGTTGGTTCAATAATTGAACTTGATATTCGATAACTCAAAAGTCTTAGGTTTAATTTTTTTCTCCGTCCTCTAAGAATTAGTCACATTTATTTATCAGGGACATGTTTTAATCTAATTCAAATTATGGTGACAGTTGACAAGCTTGATAGAATAGTCAAGTCTAAACACTCTCTAGAAAATAAAAAATAATTATTTCAATTTATATTTATTCTGATCCAGAGTTGGGCCAATTATCCCTCTTATTCTATCCCTTGAATTTTTTCCTCGAGATTGCAACGTGACCCCTTGTCCAACGACCAGTCATCACCAACGTTGACTGTCCTTTAGTTTCGAAAGTTGTAATAGGAAGGCCCTCAAGTCATTGGTATCGATTACTTCAGCACCGCAACTCCCATTCGCCAAAACACTAACCCTCACTCCTAACCAAACGACCCCAAGCACCTCTCCTTTGCAGCCCTCATTACACAAGAGAAAGGAAGCCCAATATAACCCAAATGCTGAAACCTCATTCAGTTTCTCACTTTTTTTTGGTTTTTAGTCAAACACTATGATCGAGAAAAAAATAATGAAGATGGAATTCACCATCTTAAAATCTAACAACAGGAGGATAGTGGCCAACCGCTAACCTCCACTTCCTCTCTATTTGAGTTCTTCTTTTTCTCTTTCTTTCTCATGTACACACCCACACACACACATACTATTAGTCTATTACCCACCCAACAATACACACACAACACACAAAAGAAACAAGGCCCAACAAAACCTGAAGCTCAATCATTTCTTACTAACAATCTATGTGTCTACCCTCTCTCCATATGCGCTTGTGGGTACAGACAAACATGCATTTCATATTTGGGGATGGTAATTGAGTCCAATTATTCAGATTCGGCTCGAATAAAATTAAACGGGTCGAATTTAAATAATTTTTTAAACTCATTTAAACTGAGTCTAAAAGATTCAACTCGTTTATATATAGAATAGTCGAGCTACTCGAACTCAACTTCTGTTTTAAACGAGTCGAATTTGAACAATTTTTTAAATTCGTTTATAAAAACGAGATCAACAGGCTCGACTCAAGCTCATAAAGTTCAGCTGAGGTGGTATGAAAACCTTCACTTTTTTTTTTTTGGTTTAATGATTAGGAGTGTATGACCCAACATACACGCACCTCGACTAATCTCCTCTCCAGTCTGGTCAAAAGCAAGTCATCTACGTCAAGACTAAAACATTCATGAGCCATAAATTTCTCGTGAGTCGTGACTTGACCCCAAGAGATTATTAATATTTAAACTAAAAATATCTAAGTTAACAACTCATCACTCTGTTACCATTTGAATTACCTTGAGTTATGTCAAAACCTTTGCATTCTAGAAATTCAAACTCTTAAAATACACAAATTTTATTGCATCCTGGATGCAAATGTTGCGTCCCAATTGGGGTATTTGGTTAATTGTAGCATTCACCAAGCGGTAATTCTGTGTGAACTGTTGGTGCAAACAATAGAAATCAAAGGTCATTATTTTTAGTTCAGAAATGATTTTCAAAGCATGTTTATTATAGATTTGGAATCCTAGAACTCAACAAAAATCTATTGTGAACATGCACAATTTAAGATTTGATGATGTATAAAATTGTCTTCACGCAAGATCAACAGTCAAGTATATGAACGGGTGTAATTAATGAGCAATTAATGACAAAACAATGAATAAGAGTTTGCACAAATATTTATAGTGGTTCGGTCCGGATGACCTACTTTACTCTCGAGAACAGTAACGGTGGCCTGGATCTTTTATTAATAAATGAAGTCACCGGAGTGAGTATTCTCCAAGAGTATTACAATGCTTTTGAGAGAGAGAGAGAGCAATGTGTGTAGAAAAATGTAATGTGTGTAGAAAGGTGTATTGTATATAGGGATCTCAAGACTATGAGAGCATGCCTTCTATATGGAGAGGACTTACATTATATAAGTGTGACGAGGCGATAAGGCGGTGACGTGAGGAGGAAGACTTCCACTGTTTTAGTAAGTACAACTATGGTAAGAGATCTCCGTGCCTATCCCGATATTTTCTCCCTCGTACTCCTATTTCTTCGGAGAAGAGTCTTGAACTGGACTGAGCTCGTACTTGACTTTGAGTTTAAACCCGGAGTGATTTTGGACTTGCATTAGAGTGAAGTGAGGAGGGGAGGATGGACAAGGCATGGACGGTGCCCACTTGAAGCCACATGGGCGATGCCCACTTGGAGTCTTCATGAGTGGTGCCCCTTGGGTACCTTGGGCGGCGCCCATTTGATCCCTTGGGCGACGCCCCCTTTGAGGATGTGTTTGGTCTCTGTTTTGGACTCCCACTTGACTCTTTGGTCGATTCATCTGTTTTTGAACTTTTCTTTGGGCTTTCTCAGCTTATTTTATTGGGTCTGATTCAATCAAATTCAGGCTGATCAGGATTATTGTGTTGAAATGTATCATAAGACTAGGATGGGATTTTTGTGGAGGGATGCAGGGGCAACGAATAATATTACATTCAATCATTTTTTTTAATGTACAACCATGAATCTAGCCTGTTTTCATTTGTTTTTTGGTGGGGTGGGGGGGAGGGGAGGACGGCTGATGAAAGTCGATTTTGGTACATGTCTTAGGTGCACAATTTTTACCTTAAAATGTTATCGCATCCTAATGAAACATAAATAAAACTCTATGGGATAGTTTAAGTGATAACAGAGAGAAACTATAAACTCAAATATTTTGAGTTCAAATTTTAACAACTCTTTACAACCAGATCATGAGGAATTTATCATTTATAAATACCTTAATCTTGGCATAAATGGTATGTCTTCGACTATAGGAAAAATAATTAGTTGAGATACACATACATTAATTCGAATAATCCTGACTCTTGAACTCACTCAAAAATAACTAATAAAGACCTCAAAATGCATTAAAAAACAGAGGAGGGTTGGGCAAATGTGTGGAAAAGTAGTGTGTTTTAGGAAGGAGTGAGGACTTCATGGGAGTGTTGGAAAAACTAGTGATTTTTCCTCTATGTGCAAATCAATAGAGAATAACCAAAATCACAATTAAGTACAATAAGCAAATCAAATCAACAACAAGAAACACAAGAATTTTTAACATGGAATCCTTGAAGGTGAAGGAAAAAATCACTAGATCAAACTTAGTCCAATCTCTCCACTATCAATGAAAGTAGGATTACAAATCTTCCAGTCACAACTAGAGATATCAAACATCAAGAGAAAAATACTTCCTTGTCTCTCAAACATAAAAACTTTATCCTTAGGTGGATTTCAATACAAAGTAACCAGAAAGATCTCACCAAAATGATTAAACTTGTGTCATCGAAAACCAGCTGTAGAAGAGTCTGATTGATGACTTGAATCAGTAGAAACCAATTATGGAAGAGGTGAATATGTCTTTGAAATTTCAGCTCGATCGAAGTAGTAATGAGCCTTAAACAAGAGAAAGAAGTGAGCTGCAATCTTCCACTTTTTCTCTCACAAAAGAGGTTGTCCTCTCAATATTCAATACAGATTTTCCCACTCAAAAAGTGTAAAAACCAGTCAGGTTCCTTGGAAGACAAAAGGTCTTCTATTTATGACTTGTGCTAGACTATTACAAAGTACAAGTTCAAGGCACACATGCACATATTCTTTTAATTTGAGTTGAGTCCCAATAAGAAAGTATAAGAAGAGGCACCCAATAGGGAAAGACTTGTCTATTGTCATAAATGAACAACAATAATATTATTTAAATATAATTTATTGATATAATTTATTAATTTAATTAATCATAATTGTTAAATTGATAAAAGATTTCACCAAATGTTGAGCCTAATTATCAATTTAATAATTATAAATAAATTAAGTACATTCCGAGCAATTATCCACAAAGCCCATTGTTCATTCTTTGCTAAAGTGACAATCATATTGGGCGAGAGGAGGCAAGGACTTTATTATTAATAGAAGGCGAACACATCTTTCATTTTCAATCATAAATAAAACCTAGAAAAGTACGGTCGCCAATTAGCCATGCAGCTTACTTATTTTGGTATTTCGTTAAATATCTTTAAAAAAAGTTATTTAAAAAATAATATATTTTTTATTATTATTTTGTAAACATAATCTACACATCTCTTAGCTCTAAATGGTATATTTATTAGACCTGTCAATCGTGTCAGGTAAATTGAATTTGTGTCAAAACACATTTCACTCATACCTAATTCGTATTATATGATATTTGTATCATATACGAATTGTGTATAACCCAGTAGATAAATGAGTAGAGTAGTATCTAATTTATTTATTAATCGTGTCGGGCTCACTCATTTATTAAACAATTGACTTACAAAAAACTCAAACTCTTTAATTTCATATCGTATTTGTATCGTATCCATAATATTTATCTATATGCATAGGTGCATTACAATACGTGTGATAAAATTAGAAATGGAACAAATCCATAAAAATAAAAAATAATAACCAAAAAGCTAATTTAAAATTATTTTGAAAAGTAAAAAGTATTTTATTTTATTTTTCTCATATCACAGTAAATCTCAAACAGGTAAAGAATGTCTAAAAGGGCAAAACAAAAGGTGGACCATTGGAGGATATGAATTTTGATTTTAATGCAAATGGTCCTCTTTGTCTTTGTCTTGTCTAAATAACAAAACAAATTGGTCTCATGAGCCATCCTTTTCATTAGCTGCCACATGATATCTGGCAAATATGTCTCTTTATTTCATCTATCTATCTCTAAAATCTTGAAATGATCATTTCAATGTCTGTATGTTTTGTACCACGTACAATATTGCTCAATAGCTCTGCTTACTCTTTCTAATTATTTTGACATGAAAGAGTTATTTTTTAAAAGTCGGATATAAGTTGGGTATCAAAATATGATACTATTTATATAATAAAGTAATTTATAATTTAAATCTTAAAGAAACAAAATGACTTTTATTATTCGCGATTGAGATCGCTTTAAATTTTACTTTAAAGTCAATTTAATGGCTAATATTAACATCCTAAATTTAATAAGAAAAATAGGGCCTTAAGGATATGTTTGAAGTAACTTTTTAAAAGTATTTATAGAAATTATATCTCATATATACTTTTAAAGAAAATAGTATTTGAAACCGCCCCGCCACCACCATTATCGCCACTATTGCCACCACTACAGCCGCCGCCACCACCACCATCACCATCATCGTCGCCACCATCACCGTCTCTTACCACTATTACTACCGCCCACCACCTCTCACTCCCACACTACAAAATCGATGATTAAATTCTTTTATCTCTTCTTTATATTTGTGATTTGATTTTGGATATAAATATAAATATATTTATTATTTACTATTTTTTATTACTCTATGTATTCAGATACAGACAATAACTAGTTCATTAATATAGTATGAAATTAGATTGGTTGGAATTTTTTTAAGTCATGTGTTTCATAAATGAGTGGACTCAATATGACATGATTAATAAATGAATTGAATACAAGTCAGGTCAATCAAAAAGAATACATGATACGATTCGTGTATATATTAGTTATACATGATTTATACACGACACTAACCTGATATGACATTATTCGTTAGACACGAATTAATAAACGAATTGTGTATAACACAAATTAATAAATAAATTATGTTTGTGGTTATTTTTATCACATTTGTAAGTGTTTTTACTACTGTTATCTTTATAGTACCAAAAAAATGATAAAAATAATTACCATAACAGTAATAAAACATCTACAAATATTATAAATTATCACTTTTATCTACAAATGTGATAAAAACTGTCATAAAATTGACAATTTGTTTTGTATCGAAGAAAAGTGATAAAAATATGTACAATAATGATAAAAATATTCGCAAAAGTGACAAATACTTTTGTTCTAAATAAACCCACATAAATTATAAAAATATCCATTAAAATAGTTGAAGTTAGAAGTTCGATATTGAAATTGATATATAAATTTTTCATATTAGAGGCACCTATTTTGGAAAGATAGTACAAAACACTTGTGATTTAAAATAAAAAGATAGAGTTAATTGTGCTAGAGTGCTTTAAAATATGGGGTTTGTCCTATTTTGGTCTCTAATATTTTAATTACATCATTTTAATTTTTTAAAGTATTGAATATGTTTTTATATGGTCTCTCAAACAGATACCGTCCATATTACTAACGATTTTTTATTATAAACTTGTCACATAATACTTAAATATAGACAAAAAATAATTTTAATAACTCTTAAACAAAATTTGGATAACTCTTAACAAAAAAATGTGTAATATGGGTAGCTTTCGACTAAAATTTAAATAGCTTATGATTAAAACTGTGTAATTTAGGTAGTTATTTATCAAAATTTGAGTAGAAATTTGGTCAACAGTTATCCAAATTATTTTTTTGTTCATATTTAAGTAGTATGTGACAAATTTATGATATAAAATCGTTAGCAATTTGGACGCTGTTTACTTCAGGGACTATATAGAAATATATTTAATACTTTAGATACTAAAATAAATAATTAAAATATTGAGAACTAAAATAAGATAAATTTAATACTTTAAGCAACTTTGGTGTTATTAATCCAAAAAATATGGACTTGACTACGTGATTAGTTAGTAAAAAGATAACCTCTATCTATTTTGGAGTGACTTTTGATTGAGCTACTCGTGTTATTGAATGCCACTCGTGAATCATCCCTCCATATGCATTGTGATCCATGCAGATTCCTCCTTGTGGCTTTCTTTTCCTTTCGAGTGTTTGAAAAATCAACCAAAATATAGTGACTTTGATAATGAGCGCTTGTCCTTTTTACATCAAGCATATGAATTTGGGCCAAGATTAAAGAAATGTAGCACATGAAAAATAAAATAAGTGCAATATATTTAGGAGAAAATATTTAATATAACTGTGATATCACGTCATTAATTTTGAAGCGTGATGCCACATAGTAATATAGACATCGTGTCACCATTGTAGTGAATATTTTCTCGCATACTTAGGAATTTGAATCATTACTTTAGAACGTTTAAATTTATAACTCGAGTATTATCTATGGAGTAATCCCTTCTGCTTATCACCGGACATTCTACGTGGGCAGCAGAAAGACACCGATGCTGTAACGGAAGCGATCAACAGTTTTTGTATGAATATAATCCTAGCCGCCAATCTGTTTGGTACCATAATTACTATTAAAGTAATCTGTTGTTTTGGTACATGCTTTCACTTTCACCTTAGACGGCGACGGCAAGATGACATATACTATAATTAAACTTTGGGTAATTTTACTTACACCCCCTATAAATTGGACCTAACTTCAATGATATCCCTGACTTTTCTAATATTTACTAACACCCCCAATCAGTATTTGTCTGCTGACGGAATTAACAAAAATACCTATTTTACCGCATAGTTTTTCTTCAAATTTGCATTTTTACATATTTCACCAAAGTATACATATATAAAAAGAGAGGTCTCGTTGAAAATATATAGAAAATAAAGGGTCTCATTGAAAATAAATTTAACTACACAGGGTATGAATGAAATTTACTCTGCAAATTTTTCAATCTAGTTGTATAAAGGACAAAGTTGTGTGGGGTCACCCATGGAAAGATTTCTCAAAATCCGACTCCTTATTCCCTCTAACGAAGCTTGTGTAATGGCAAAATCTTGGAAAAATTGGATATGAAATTATTGGGTATAAATTATTTCATTTATAATCGAGTTAATTGATCAAAATTATTTACTAAATGAAATGACACAAATTTGATTATGAAACAAATGAACTCCACTTATATATAATAAGAAATTAAAGACATAAGATTGTGGATAAATCAGGTATAAATTTTATAAATTTCAGCATAAGATTAATCTTATATCACACAATTCGCTGCTATTTCTAGTCACAAATTTACCCTCCATATGAAATTATTAGGTTTTGCTAATTTTAAATGTTAAACGAGTAAAATGAGTCGACGTAAACAACACTAAACATAATAGAAAATTATTCAAAACGCAAATATGATAAAACAAAAAACTTGTTTATGTATGTTTCATAAATGAAATTGAAATAATTTGAACACGATATAAATACACGAACACGGCCGAGGAAGATAAATTGGCAGTCCTAATGGGTAATTTAGAAGCAAATCTCATGAAGTTTCCAAACATAAACGAGAGCACAAGAGCATTCCCTCCGTTTGCAAAAAAGTCCGATCCGAAAATTAATTCAATGGCGCCCTATTTCATTCAGAGGGCCTTTTTGGCGGGTGTACTGTTTGATCAAAAACTTTTGGAACTAAGGGTATTTTCGTCACTTCACAATTCCCCCGCCTAGGGTTTTCTCGAACCGCTTATAAGGGCAATTTTCTAGATCGGCCACGAGCGGTCGTGTGTCGGTTCTTTCTCTCTCTATCTCTCTCTGCGCCTCTCCATGTCGGTTTCGTTTCAGTCTTAGACTGATTCCTCCACAGTTCAGCACTTCACTACCCTTTTCTCTTTTCTTCCCCCTCCTCTCTCTCTTTTGAAACTCCCTTTCTATATATTTTGGAGGTTAAAGCTGGCGAGTCTGATCCATTTCTGTGTACTAAGTGGGAAACCTCAAGTCTAGTCTGCTCTAAGTGTGCTCTGTTTGTTTGATTTGCTCTTCTTGGTACTGGGTATTAGTTGTTTTAGCTGGAAATTAGCTTAGATCGTCATCATCCCATTCTTTGTGTGTTTCTCTGAGTATCAGGTTGATCAGGGTCTGAGGTGTTGTGATCTCTGTTGTTTTGTTTTGATCAAGGTGTTTATAAAGTTTTCAGACCATACGAGTGTTTCAAATCTAGTTTGATAGTCGATTGATCGGTCAATCTCTTGTTGGGTCTGATTCAGATCTTCGAAATAGGTGGTAGAAATGGTGGATCTGAGTGACAAAGTGAGTGATCATGAGCTTTCCACGTTTGTCTTTATCTTCTTTAATCATCCTCGAAATCCATATACATCTGCATGTATAGTTTTAGCTATCATTTGATCATGGTTTGTTCTGATTTAATTTATTTCTCGACACAGGGATCGTCAGAGTCCGAAGACATGAACTCTCACACACCTGATAGGGTTTCATCGGAAGGAAACAAGATCAAGACCTGTGCTGATTGTGGTACCACCAAAACCCCTCTCTGGAGAGGTGGCCCAGCTGGCCCCAAGGTCTGATTCATTTTCCATACATTTGTGTCTTATTATTTACATGGGTTTTGATTTGATTTTGAATATCTGATCTGGGTTTATGTGCATGCAGTCACTGTGCAATGCATGTGGGATCAGAAGCAGGAAGAAGAGAAGAGCGATTCTGGGTGTTAACAACAAGGAGGACAAGAAACCCAAAAAAACAAGTACCACCACCACCACAATCGGAAACATCCAAAATCAAAAACCAAGTTCAAGCAATAATGGCAACAAATTGGGCGATTCAGTGAAGAGAAAGCTGTTCTCAATCGGGAGAGAGATGGTTTTGCAGAGGCCGAGATCGAGATCCACATCGTCGGCGGCGATGGTGAATCAGAGGAGGAAGTTGGGAGAAGAAGAGCAAGCGGCCTTCCTTTTGATGGCTCTATCGTGTGGCTCTGTTTATGCTTAAGCTTTAGTAGTAGTAGTAGTAGTTTGCAAGTAGAGCAAGAAAGTTTGAGAGCTAGGTTTTTTTTTTAAGTGTAACTTCTAGTCTCAATCCAACTTAATTTTCTTTAATTTTGCTCCTACTTAGTGTAATTCTGTGCTTTGTTTAGTGATCATTTGCCTATTTAGTGCTAAACATCTAACTTTTAAGAGGCATAGTTGTATGAAAATGGGAAATTAATCCTAATTCATATTGGTAGTGAATTAATTTAGATTCAAATAAAATTGTATTTTGATAATTTTTTTTATTTTTGATTCGATCGATCGATCAAATGTCGTCATTCACGTAATTATTAACAATTATGTAGATGTGTTTATTAAACCACCAAAGAAGGGAAAAAGTAGCTAATGATTGATGACAGATGAGGGCCTCATGGTCTCTTCAATACGTGGTTGGTAGGGTGTTTATTTTTTTTGTATTATCTCAAAAAATTATTTAGTGTTTTTCGCTTTGTTTTGAACCATTTCTAATTATTGATAAAATAGCAAAATAAAGAGGTAATACTGTAAAAATAGATTTTTCTCATGTGTTGTATTATTATCTTGGTTAATAAATTATTGTACATAATTTTGGAGTTTGCAATTTCAGAGTATAAGACTGAATGTTCAAGTCATTTTGAAGCAGGGGGGGCCACCTATTGTTTGGTTTAGGTTGAGGCAGGTTTAGTGGTATTAATAGAATTACTTTTTATATTTTGATAATAATATTCAAAGTAAAAAAATGTAAAAATTAATGTGTATAATTTATTAAATTTATTTATTATTCAATAACTTCGTATAACATTATAGGCAGAATCTTATAATATACTTTGAATATATCATTCTTACGGAGGAATGCAAACTCCAATCGTGTTTAAAAAAATTGTCTTTTCTTTTTGCAATAGGGTCGATGCGAATACGAAGGGATAGTTCAAATGATAATAAATGCGATTTATAAATTCAAATATCATGAATTGAAATTTTGATAATTTTTTTGAGATTTATTATTCATAAATATTTTAGTCTTGACGTTTGATTATCTATTTTTGATTGGACCAGAGAAAGAAATAGTCAAAGTGCGAGTAAACTAACTCAAATATTCATAACCGTTAAATTAAAAAAAAAATTGGGGTCGACTTGTGAATATTGTAAACCCCATGGTACATATAGAAGATCTATCCTACTTCAAATAGTCTTTTTTTTTTTTTTTTTGAGCCAGTTAATTTTGGTAAGTTTTTTATTTTGTGGGTGATAGGAGAATCAGTCGTAAAAATAGGGGTAGCATTATAAAAGGGTAATAACTAGATGTTAATTTTTAGTTATTGCATGAGTTTGGTAACGTATGGTTGGTGGAAGAGACAGGAAGTCTATGGGCGTCCAGTGCTTCGCTCTTTGGTTTCTTATTAGTTTTCAGGTTAAGGGTGGAGAGAGAGAGAGAGGAGGGTTTTGGTTTCTTCTTCTAAATGATAAAAAAAATAATCCAAGCAGATGGGTACTCATTATAGTCGACCCTTGTTTTGATTGTTATTGTTTTTTTCTTTATTTTAAGGCTACCGTCCAAGCAATGAAGAATCTTATTTGTTTATTTTTGCTTATACACTTCAACTTGCATTACAAATTGATGATATATAAACTCAAAATGTGAGGTGAGTGTTTGAACTCAGGAATTCAAGAATTATGAATACTTGTGTATGAATGAAATGATGTTGAAGTTAACCTATGGTTGAGCTGTTGGCTCTGAAAAATGCAACAATAAACGTAAAACAAGGGTAAAAGCTAGGAAACAATATAGATTACATTGGTTTATCAATTAAAAAGTTTGACTAATCTATTTTAATGGAGTGTCTTGCTCCTTAAAAGATTTTCTATTGCTTTAAAAAAAGATAGAGTTACAATGACAATTCGTTCAATGCCTTTACATGGTTGAATGCCCTTGTACTTATACTCACAGGTGGGGTGATCCTAAAATTATCATCATATGATCTCCAAATTTGTTAGAATTTTGTTGAGAGAGTATTAAGTCGTTAGAGACTACATTCACTATGTGTAATGTGACTGACTTTCTAAAATTTGCTCAGGTGACATTGTGGCTTGTTTTCAAGCTTAGACACGCCAGTGGTCTTTTGTACATATGGAAGACCTTTTATTCTTCTATTCAACCCGTGAATGAAGGAACTCTTTCTACCTTCCTGGACTGAGCTGGAGAAATTTATATGACATAGATGATTTGGATACCTGTATCCGAGGTCGAACTTAGACGACCTAAATTCCTTTGTCTGGGGTCATAAATAGACGACCTTGACTCTTTTACTTGAGGTTGGATGCGTAACAGGAGATCGGAAGACAGAACTTGGTCATTAGCTCTTCCCATAGGTCGTCGCTACGAAAATATCCTTCTACTTATAGTTGATTGATTTCTTAGTTGATTGATTACTTATACTTCGTTGATTGATTTCTTTCTTATGATAAAGGATGCATGCAAAATGAATAGCTCCACACCTTGGCCGATAGACAGAACCCCAAAACATATGATCATAAATTGTTTCTGCATTTCCATTTTAAAATGTTCTTTCTACTTTTTATGAATATAATGTGCAATAGTTATGAACATTTTAACCGAATTCTTTGTTTGCAAAGTTCCAAGGCTAATGCACTCTTGGGTCAACTAGTTTTTCCTCTTTTCTAATCCTTAAACATAATTCTAACTTGACCAAAGGTTAGATTGTAGTCAAGTTTGATCACGGACAAAAATGAAGGTGTCCGGAATCCGATTAGTCGAATATGAAATAGTTTTTTTTATCGATTTAATTTGATCTTGAATATGATATCTTATATTTTAAAGATTTAAATTTGAATATACTTATATCTGATTCAATTACGATCTAATTTAAATTATTTATATAAATATTAAAAAAATTAAATAATTAATTTAAAAAATTAGTTAATTAAGTTATTTAAATTAGATCAGGTTTTAGATTGTTAAAAAATTTGAATATTGACCATAACAATAAAATTTATCGAATTATCAAATTAAACTTTTAAAATCAAATTCATATTCGTATCAATTAGAATTCAATTTAAACCCGGGCCTATTGCCTGGCCTCTTCATATTTGGGGCCGATTCCGTTAAAACTCAATCCGTCAATTCTGAAGGCCGAAAATCACCACACCATCGGTTGTTCATTTCCCAGTCCCCACAAATCCATCATGTTTTGCTGCAAATCTTTGTACCTCTGGCCTACATGTTTGTCAAATAGAATGAAAGGAATAAGACCCTATCCGGGGAATTCGGGTTTTTTTTTTTTTTAACATTGGGTCGAATTTTGAAAACCGAAAATTTATTTTTATACAATTACACGATGAGAGTTATGCGACTAGAATTCAATCACATTTATATAATAAAATATAATATAAAAAATATATTTTTATTTTTTATAGTTGAAAACATTTTAAATTTTATTTTAAAGTTAAGTCATTGCGACGCCCCCGCCCCCGCCCCCGCCCCACCATTGTTGTCACCACTCTATTACCACCATCACTATTATCGACGTCATCGTCACTCACCACCGATTATTACCACCGCTGCTCATTGCCATCAGCTATCACCATCATTATTTCATTTTTATATTTATTATCATTAACACTATCATCCCATCACTGTCAACGCCACCTACTGTCATCCACTTTCACCACACCTAACAACATCACCCATCATCGCCCATCACTACTGCTACTTACTGTCATCCACTTAAGGTTGTCAAAATTTGATTCGACACGATTAACTGACACGAATTAAGCGAGTTTGGGTGATAAACAGTTGATACGCTAAACACGTTTAATAAATGAGTCGTGTTCGGGTGAGACCTGTCAAACCGTTTATTACACGTTTACCCGTTTAAATAAAATTAATATAATAATTATTTTAAAAAATTAGCAAGAAAAATAAATAAATCAATCAATAAAAAAAAATAAAGTAAAGTAGTAGTTCAAAGACAAAAGAGAGAAGATGAAGAGTATTTCAAAGACAAAAGATAAATCAATACCTTTTGTTTTTGTCCCACATTGAAAAATGAGAAGAGATGGGGATGGTTGAATTACTTATAAAAAGCAATGGCCTCTTGCTTTTTTTTAAACCTTAAGTTTTATTTTTATGAGATTTGACTAAAAAATCCTCTTTTTTGAAGTAAGTGTATTTGACAATAAAAAAAAATAGAGTATTAAAATTTGTTAATATAATTTTTTTAAAATTAAATGAATTAAACGAGTTGTGACCGTGATGAAATTTTTTACATGTTTATTAAACGTATTGTATATGAGTTTATATATTTTTCATTCGTCACTCGTTTAACTCGACACGTTTAACACCCCTATCTACATCCCAACTCACTATGACCACTATTATCATCTCGCCCCACCACCAGCACTGCCAACCCTCATCACTGTCGCCCTTCACCACCCACACACACCACAATCACCATCGTGATTCGTGACTATCATTATCACCATTGTCACCTAAAACTCACCACTATCATCACTGTCGTCACCCATGATTGTTGTTGCCCACCACTACCATTATCATCTATCATCACCATCATCACCGTCTTGCACCACCGCCACTGTTGCCCACCACCGTTCACCCTTTATTGCTGGTGCTTAAATTCATTCTTTTTCTTTTATTTTTATGATTTGATTTTGAGTGTGAATACTAATATGTTTATGATTGACAATTTTTTTATTACTTCATATTTTCAGACATAGAGCAACAACTACTCGCTTTATAAACTCAAACTCCAAAGTTAAATGACATGATTCAATCTTGATGGCATAATTCTCTTGCCAATTAAACTTTCATCTCTTAAAGTCGAACAAACTTTACAGTGTTGTGATTGAATCTTGACCGCATAACTCTCATATTGATTGTTTTAGATGGAATTTTGGCACCTACCCCGACCCCACCTCCGCGCGGTGCGGGTCCTACTTTAGAGGACCCAAATTCTCAATCCTGGCCTGGCTCTTGGAAAGCATATAAAGAGATTTATGATCTAAATCATACTAAAACAGCACCCATATCTTACATTTTCTATATGAACGTGATCATAGAACAAGGGCGATGGAGGCCCGGCCATCTACTAACATTATGTAATGTTAGACGGACTAAAAAAAAAAAAATAAATTTTTAAATATATAAAATTAATATAAAAAATATCCTCTGTCACCTCTAAAATGAAAAGGGTGATCTTGTAGTTTTTGGTCTGTGAAGTGTTGAAGAACATCTCCATTTCTTATCTTTTTTTTGATCCTTTTTTAAAAAATGGTTAAAAAAACTCTTAAAAATATTTTTCAATGCTAGACTCATACTCATACCAAATGAAGATAAACTATTTTTTAAATCTAAATCAAGGGAGACTCAAATCTTTACCTTTTTTCCACCAATGATGAGATAATACTCTCATTTAAATATCTAATTGTCATATTTACCTTCTTTTAAATTTAGGTTTATCCTCATTTAAAAAAAAGTTTCTCTTCCTTTAAATTTGAGTTTCTTTATTGGAAAGGTCTATACCAAATCAAATTTTTTATCATTTTTTTATTCAAATTTGAGTAAAGATTTGAGTCTCCATTGAAGATGGTCCTAGGTGCTACATTTGATTTTTTCATTGAGGCCGATCCTATACTTGTGTTTAAGGGTGTCTATGGGCTGAATTGCCCATGGATCCCGTTACTCAGCCCGAAAAAAATAAAATCAAAACTCGATAGGCTCGATAGTTGGCTTGCACGAGCCCAATATCCTTCAAGAGAAAACTTGAGCTTACCCCAAACCTATTATCCGGTTCGAAACCTGACCCAATAGTCTGCTCACAAAAAATCCTTTAAAACTCGGCCCAAGAAACTGCCTACCCAGCCCAACCCTCACCACCTTCTTTTGAAAAAAAGTTATACACATTAAATTTAAAATTTAAAAAAGATAAATAGGTGGGTAGGTGCCAATTTAATTGAGATGCACTCATTCTATTGTGATGCAGTTTCTTCCCCATTTATAAATAAAATTATTCATTATTTACTTTTTTTTCATTTTGACTTTAATTTTAATTCAAAAATATAATTTATAAAAATATTAAATTATAAAAATATTCATTATTTTTAAATAAAGTTGTATATAAAAAATATGTTCAATAGGCCTGCCCCAAGCCCACCCAACAAGACCATAGGTTTGCACTAAACAGGCTCGCTCAATAGACATGTTAGTTGGGTTACGGATAACTCACTTCTATCCAAAGTTCAATCCGATTTGCCTGATAACTAACTCGGATAGGGCATTGGGCCTTCCTTACCCAAGCCCAACCCAAAAGAAATTTTATGGGTCAAGCCTGGGTCAGCCCATAAACTTTCCTAATTGTGTTCGAGAGATAGCTATCATCCATACACTCAAAATATCACATTATTTAATTATATTTTTTTATCTTATTTTTCTTACTGTCTAACATTAGTAACCTTCCTTTCAGCCAATCTAAACATGATAACAGGACCACAGTATCACTAGCCCTAATGTCCTCCTTTCTTTGGGATACCATACCGTTACCAATTTGAGTGGACCCCACTCTATGCCAGTGGATGGCTTCCAGCTAATCCTCCACACCCTTTTATCTCTCTTTTTTTTTTTTTTATTTCACACAGCGGAGATATATCATCACCACCATCACAATATAAATGTGCCAGTAAACTTACAAATACAGCTCACATATGTCAGACACCCACCCTCCTCCTATTCCTATATCCTCTGTCCATTGAACTGTCCACAACCAATCTTTAGAGGATGAGGCCTCCAATTATGCCCAAGTTGGTCAATTTGGACTTAAACTTAGTGACATCAATGTTGACCCAAATCAATTACAATTATTTTTTTAAGTTCAATGGTCAGTAATGTCTGAACCGGCTTACGTGTATTTTGACTAGCTCGACTTATGTGTATTTTGACTAACTTTTTTTCTGATTCAGTTAAAAATAGATCATCTGCATTGAAACTAAAATATTAATGAAAGATAAATTTCTCATACTCTAATCCCAAAAAACTATCAAAATTTAAATTCAAAACTTTTAAATTTACAACTTGATTACATAAGAAAAAATAACACCTAGAATTCAATCATATCATTTACCTTGGAATTTACATGAATGTTGATTTTTAGAACTGGCACAAATAAGATTACCATCAAAAGCCCTAAAGCTAAAGATTCGTGTGAATTTCGACTCAAATTCAAATGATTGAAATTCATTGCATTGCAGTGCATTCACATAAAAGAAGAAGCCACTTTTTCTTCACATGGAGCATAGAAAAAAAAGGTGAACTCATGATGAGTACAGCATGATGCGAACACCACAACCACATCCTTACTTGGTGAAAGTTGAAAAGATAAAAAAAAAAAAAAATCCAAAAATTTGAGAAGACATTAGTGAATCTCAGCCAATTAGATGCCTTCACGTTTATAAAGTCGATCTTTTTCTAAATTATTCTATAGGCTGCTACTATATGTTAAAAGACATTCTGGAAAGTATAGTGTTTTGCTCCCAAAGGTTCTCCCTTTCCTGACAAAATAATCTCTTCGTATACTTAGAAGTAGGACCGTTAATCAAGTCAAACTTGAATATTTTTTAAAGTTCGTTTATGTGTAAATAGTCAAACGAGCCAGCTCATTTATGTGTAAATTTGTCTCGATTTAAACTCGAATTCAGCTCAATTAACACCCTTACTTAGAAGGAACAGAATGCTAATGTAGAGGATCTTGCTCGACTCAAAAAATTTTCTCCTCTTTCTTTTTTGTCTTTTCTCTTCTTTGCTTTTCTCTTTCTTTTGGGTTGGCAATCAAAAAATAAAATCAAGTTGGGGAGCTTTTTGTCAATGGGAATTTTAAATAGAGTGCTTCAATTCTTACCTAAGTGACAATCTAAAAGAGAGCTAAAAGCTTTTGAAAAGTATATGATAGTATAAGTGACTGTTGAATTAGAGCTTTAAGGGCTTCACAAAATTGTCATAGAATCTCTCAAAATTGACATTTTCCATACCTATATTGTGCAGCAGTAGAAACACTGATAGATTAACGTTATTTGTATCTCATTTGTTGATTTAATTTATTTCAATTATCGGATTAATAATAACTATTAATGTTATACAACTGGTGAGAACCTTAAAGTAACATCGTGGAGTTGCTATGTTTGATCGCCCATGATCACCCTTTGTTTTTAAACCAAAAAAAAAAAAAAAGAGTTTCTTTCAATGTTATTAAACTAATAGAGCGTAATTGTTGCATGAGGGTATTCTAATTTTCAAAAAAAAAAAAGAATACCCTCATAGTGCAACGATTAGTTTAATAAATTAAGTCAATAAATTAAATATGAATAATATTATATGATGAAGATAACCTTAATGAATATTAGTTGTAAAATCAAAAAAATTAATTTGAATTGAAGAAAAATGGCAGCATGACTTGATAAACAACAAAGAGATAAAAACAATACAAGAACTTGTAGAGTTTATAATTGACACTTAATATTGAGGAAAAATGACTAATTTTCTCACATTCTATTAAAAGATAAACTAAATTACCAAGAAAAGAGGCATAAATTGTCAAGAATTTACAGATTACCCAACAGGGAGAGAGAGAGAGAGAGAGACAGACAGGACATTTACTTTAGTCATCATCACCATTAATTACTCCTCCCAGAGAAGTCCTCTGTTTTTCTTCAACTGCAGACTCAAACAATTCTTAGAAATTAGAAGATTTCCACCGCCATCAATTTCTCTAATTTTGATCAAAACCCTCTTTTTCTCTGACATCTCCAAGCTTGTAGATCTGTGAATCTGACACTTTATTTTCCAAATGCCTTATAACCCATAGTTTCAGAGCAAAAATATGAAGAAGATAAAAAGCAGAGTGATCAAGTAAGCCGTAAAACCAGACAATTGTTCAGACCCAGATGGAGAAGGTCGTGGGGGGCTATAAAAGTAATATGGGTAGTACGGCATAATTGGGTTTGGAGGAGGTGTTACTGGTCCTGTGGGATAGCTCTTGTTCGGCGGAGAGGGGTAGTAGTACCCAATTGGACCCCCTGGCGGCGGCGGCGATGAGTAGGTGTACGTGGAGGGTGGTGGTGGAGGGTTGTAGTTTGAGCCTGAGGGAGGTGAGGGTGGTGGAGGGCATTTGGAGGAGGGAGATGGCGGTGGCGGTGGCGGTGAAGGTGGTGGTGGAGACGATGGTACGGGTGGTGGTGGAGATGGTGTTTGGGTGCATGGGTTGTCACAGGCTGAGCACATTGTACATTCGATCTGGTACTTTGAACCAACCCACGAATTTGCACCAACAAATGGCATATTTCTTGATGATAATAGCATCACAAGACTGAAAAAAGAAAGCTTCACTCTTTGGGTTCTCTTCATTTCTTCTTTTCTTCACAAGAAAACAGAGGAGAGAAAATTTTGCTGAATTTTAGATGAGAATGTAGAGAGAGAATGTGAGAGAAGATCAAAGAAATTCTTGGGGGAATTCAGAGGATGATTCAAAAGGGTTTTTTTGATGGGCAGGAACAAAGTGTACGACAAGAGAAAATGTGTGTATGTATTATTGATGAGAGAGAGAGAGAGAGAGAGAGAGAGAGAGAGCGAAGGAGAGAGAAAGAGAGAGCGAGGGAGAGAGCAGCAGAGGAGAGTTGAGAGGACTGGCAATGGCAGTGGCAGTGGGTGTCTCTTATCTTTGAAGATACACCATCTCTTCTTTTTCTATGGTGAGATGAGATAAATAATATAGAATACGACAAGATTAAATAAAATTATTTGACAATTTTAAATAAATTTCGTCGTTAAATCTTTTTCAAAATAACAATAGTCTGATTTTGAGTTTAAGTAATGATAAATTTATCTCTTATAAATATTTTAATTTTAACGTAAATAATATATTTTTAATCAAATAAAAAAATTAATAAATATACATATAAATTAATCCAAAACTCTTCACCCTTCTGAAAAAAAGTAAAAAGTGAGATTAATTCACAAAGAAAGGGTTAAAGTGAGATTACTGTATAGAGTAGTTTAAGTACCAAAAGGTAACACCGACATGTGTTTACTTTAACAGCAATGCTCAACCGACGCCATTCTTTGATTAGATTAATAATTTTTTTTTTTTTTTTAGGAGCAGTCACTATGGTGGAGACTAGGAGCACTCGACTAATCAAATTATCTATTACTAATTTGATTACTTGAGTACTCCAAGACATAGTTGTTATTATTTTTATTTAATGAGAAAGAGTGTTCGATTTAATTTACATACAACTCGATTAATCACCTCCTTCATCTGGTCAAAGATAAATCACTTATCTCAAAACTGGGGTATTCATATCTAGCAGTAAGAGGTTGTTAAGATTAGAACTTAGAACATTTTAATTTACACTTTATTCCTGTTACTACTTGAACTCTTATTAAAATTCTAGACATAGGTATCTGTACGATGGTTGCTAAGCAATAGTAATGACTCCAAATTTAGCTCAAATTTAATTTGTTTTGACTCGTTCAAATCATAAAGCAATCAAATTTAATTAGATTTTTAAGCTCCTTTAACAAGAAAATTAAATCCAAATATCTGGCTCAACTCCTATATGTTACTTATAGAATTTTTTTTTTTCAACAATCAGAGTTGTCTGAGTCAGTTTATATGCACCTTGATTAATTTTTTTTTTGATCCGATCAAAGATAAGTCATTCTAGTCAAAATTAAAAATTCATAAAAAATAAATTTCTTATAATCAAATTTCAAAAAATTATCACGATTCAAATTCAAAATGTTTAAATTTATCGTTTGTCCCTATTAGTTTGCTATAATTTAACCTATCATTGGGTTACAGACAGGAATAAACACACGGAGGATATTGGAAATTGGAAAATGGTCAACTTACTAACGTTAGGAAATGCATGTTCATGATATATATATATATATATTGATTGTTCATGATAGTCAGGCTTGACCGATGTGGGTAACAGTTCACACATGGACGAATCAAACTTTGATTGTGTTGGTTAGGAGCGTGTAGACGTAATTGACACGCAACTCCCAAATGGGATGGCTATTTAGTAATAGCGGGTGGACCCACACTGACAACCATCCTTTGCCTCCAATCACTACCAATGTTTTCTATACGAGGCACACCTTGATGCAATGAATTTGTTACTAGTTTTATTGCTTAATCATGTGCTTCACAACAACCACCCCCCAAAAAAAAAAAATCCCAAAAAAAACAAAAACCAGCAAACCATACCTTTTTCTTTTGTAGGGTTTAGATGGATTTTTTGTGGTCCTTAAGGGTGCCTTGGGATCATCAAAAGTATGGTCATATTTCAAAAGATAAAATTCAATCCACTATAGTCACACGAGCTTCAGGCTTTGTTAGGGCATCTTTAACTCACTCTCTATTTTTTCTCTTTTAGCTATTTTAATTAGCTAAACATAAAAAAATTTCTCTAACCCACTCTCTATTTCCTAGTTAACCCAAATGGCTCACAAAATGTGGTGAGCCATTTGAGCTCTCTAAATTCTCTTTCTACCTTTCTTTCTCTCTTTATATATATTTTACTTCTTTTAAATTATTAAAAGTTAATAAAAGTTGGGTGTAATAATTAGTTAAAATAGAGACTGTGGTTGGCGTGAATTTATAAAAATAGTTAGTTAAAATAGTGAATATAATATTTAAATATATTTTGATTAACTATTTTAAAGAGGAGAATTGGAGATGCTCTTAAGGGCACAAATGATGAAATTGTAATGTTCTTGTTCAATTTAAGACTGAAGTTTGGCCAAGTAAAACGTGGGCCTTTAAAGTCCAATTCCAACAGACTGTAATTCTAGATTAGTTGTTGAAACTCTTCCATTCTCCTAGTTTCCTTATTTCCCCTCATTTTTCAAGATTGAACCAATGACATTGAAGTCCTCCGATATCATCCAAGCGTCTAATTAAGGAATTTGTTGTTAAGGACTTCAAGATACTCCAAACACTCTATCTACACCTTTCATAGATAATGTATATATTTACTTTTCATATATATTACTACTCTAATGTCATCCTTCTACCATAGGGCTAGGCCTCTCGAGATACCAAGGGGTTCCACATAGTCACAATTTGAGTACCTTAGTGACCTACGCAACTGCTCTAGTTTCTAGGTTTTATTCTTTGTCTTCATCAAGAAGATTATTTGTGAACGATGGACCCTCGCAATGTGTGAACTGCCTGAGGTTGTCCAGTCCCAGACAGTTCCAAGAGAGTACTAACATGGAAGTTGTGACTGTTCTAGGCTAGCCACCACCTCCCTGTCAGATGATGCCAAAGGGGTCGTGTCAGATAAGGGAGGGATCAAAGCTTGGGAAATCCACTGATTTATACAGGAATCCATGTCGTTCTTACCTTTGCTTGTACCACTGCCGGAACTGAGTTACGATCATTGTTCAAAAGTCAATATTTGCTTGTACAAATATTTGGTGATAATTGTGATCAATTCATGGACTTTACACATATTTATGTCACTTGTCCGATAGGTGGTTGGGTAGGATACATTATTTTAATTCTAGGCTAATTTTGGGCCCAAAAATTTAATCTATTAATCTCACACAATAACATTTTATAAGGAAAATATATATATATATATATATATATATATATATATATATATATATTTTTTTTTACCGAATTTAGTAATCTTATATGGTGACATGATAAATCATAACTATGGAATTGATAGTGAGTTTCAACTTATAGTAGGGTCCACTGTCTATCTAATAACAAAAAATAATAAGGTTGTCAAATAAAATCACTAAATAAGGTCCATATAATATTATATTTATTTTTATCATAATCTTAAAAGACCTAATCAAACATATACTCTATGAGAAATCCTTAATTCAGATAAAAATATTTTTAAAAGAGTGTCAATGACGAGACAACATAATTTGTCAAATAATTTTTGAATTTTAAAGTTTTGGAATTTTTATTTAATTTAAAAATTAAGTCAATTAGTTATATTATCAATAAAAAAAGATATGTTAGAAAAAATTCAATACGAATATAAAAAAATTAATATGCATCCAGAAAAAAAATTAAATATTAAAAAATTTACATTATTATTAAAAAAAAATTAAAATAATCGAATTTATCGCTTTAGGCCTCAAAATATATCAAGCCACCTCTGTTTTCATCCTCCTACTTTTTTATCGAACCAAACGGAGCATAAATGTTTAATTTTTTTTATTTTTTTTTTGGGAGATGAAGGGTGAATTTGAACATACCAAACCTTATAACTTCTTCCCAATTTGCAATGATATTAGGCAATTGTACGTTATTTATTTTACTGTGTTCTATCAAAAGTGTTGGTAAGAGAACCAACCCACGACACATTACGGCGAATCACTGACAATTTATACTTTACACATGGATTTGCTAGCTATTCTGTACACGATACGACTGTAGCTCGTCCACCACGTACCTTCTTAGAATTAAATGATTTTTCCATTGTCAAGTTGCAATAGAAGGCGAAGAATACCAAAGTATATTGTCTACATATGTCTGCTCAATTTCCGCTTTCTTTTTCCATCACTTTTGTTTTCTATTAGAATTGTTTTTTTTTTTAAATGGAAAGAGGTGTTTGGATTAATTTATACGTACCTTAATTACCGTTCAACTCTATTATTACTATTCATCTATATATAGATCACTAATACTTTCTCCCCAATGAAATTATATGGACTCTTACGAAAGAAAGAATCTCTAAATTCGATGACCTTAAATGAAAAGCTCCCAATTAGATCAGGAGTGGCCGAGTTGCTAATAGACCAAATAAGCACAGTAGATGTTTAGAGTCAAAGGTGTTCTATTTTGATACCTTCTTTAGTCCGATTAAAAGCAAATTATTCATGTCGGGACTAATATATTTGTAATGGATAAGTCTCTCATGACATAGTCACAAGGGATTGTAAATATTTAAATTTATAATATCTGTATTTACAATTCATCTTCATTATCATTTCTACAATATGTCACACTCATTTTTGTGCCAAATTTTATTAATAGAATAAGGAAAAAAATGTAGAAAGAGAGAGAGATGACGGTGACGGTGACGGTGACGGGAAGTTATGTGAGAGTCTGACACTGAGTGAGACTCCCTGCTTGTAATCGGTTGCTCTCTCAAATATTGAAAAAAAAATCTATATTTTTTCATGTTGATTCCAACAGAAATCCCCCTGAGATGGTGAATTAGTTCTTTTCAGAGGAGTGTTTTCTATTTTATATAGCAGAATTTGTCTAGTATGAGTACACTGTTGGCAGAATTTCATTACGACTCGGTCTTACCCCTTAAATAATTCAGTCGTGTGATTTTTCCATCGTTGGAAGAATCATAGTTGACCCAAAAAATATTGGGACAAAAAAAAAGTAAAGAACAGTTTTTCTTCAGGGCTAATGTGAATAATATATCTGCATATGGGCCAATGTGAATGCAGAAAGTGATATTGGAGTTCTAATAGCCTTGAGCTCAATTGAATTAGTTCCATCTAGGAAATTGAAGCTTTGGATTAGGTCTCTTGTTCAACATTCCACCATGAGTTCCATCATGTTCAGTTCATCTGTTTTCATCTTCTTTTTTTCACAATGTTTTCAACACGAGTGCAACTAGGCAGATTGGGCATGGTTGTGCACATTCTACACCAAAACTGAGGAAAAACCTGCCAAAAATTCTCCCTACCCAAAGACATCGGGTTAGTGATATAATGCCCAGATCCCAGAAGAACAAAACTCAATTCATCTTTCACATTTTGGCCTGTTAGAATAAAAAGTAAGCAAAGTGAATGAAACATCATACAACAAATCAACTATCAGCCAGAAGATCTTTTGTTGGTAACCAATGATTTCACAAATAGAGCTAAATAAAGAGCAAGGAGAATTTCTAAACACCATTATCAAGGAGTTAATGGTTCACAAAAGAACATGAAACAGGATTAAAACAATCCTCAACTAGAAAGGAACTAGAAAAGAATACAAAGACTAATGCCTTGAGCAATCAAATGAAAACTGTACATTACCATCAATCCTGCATAAGATAAATAACAGCATGAGTTATTAAGAGTTAGAAAGATCTTTCTAAATGTACGAATGTCCCATAACATTATATCCACACCTCAAAATAATTGCATCCAGAATCATAACACAACTTCACAAGTACCCTTAAAATATGCTGCTTGCTAGTTTAACCTACCTAAAGCAGTCAAAATTTTGCATGTATGCCTTCGCATATCATACTGTTGTATTCTACATGTGTCTCTGCCATCTTCCAACATAATTGATCTGTCAGATTGCGTGCCATGTTTCGTCTTTAAACTTCGAAATAAACAAGCACAATGAGCTATTCACAACAAGAAGATGTAGCAAAGTGTAATCAAGATCTTGTATCTGGAACGAGGCATTAAACTGGATCTCAACCATTTGATCATAGAAAAGTGAACTTCAGCTGTAATAGTGGCTATGTACACCAGAAAATAGAGTGACAGATAAAGCCAAAGCATAGAGGATGCCCTACACAGGAAGATTATCCAAGTGATGCCCATCAAAGCCGAACTCACTTTCAACTGATCCAGTGTCTCCTTGCTGCTGCATACAATGAAAAATTAAATAAGGCAGTCACTAACCTCCATATTTAGATTCTAGATGCAAGCGTCAAAAAGCAAACTGCTCTAAGGATAGATATAGCCAGAAAACTGACCTGCTTGAGGAATACACTCATGAGGTCCTCCTGACCAAGCTGTTCAGCAAATATGGTATTGTGATAGCTCGCATCAGGAAATCTCTCAGCCTTAACCATAAGAAGATTGTCAAGGAGAAATGTGTTAGGTTGTTGACTAATGTTTGGGACATTCCCGTGCGCACTCTCTTGCCCTGATGAAAAGACTGCCTTGCCCATAGCACTCCTGTTTTGCCCATTATTTTGGATAGAGGAGAAGCCTTGTTGAACTATAACAGATGGTGAGACATCACAGCTACCTCTCATATTTGCATGGTGGGAGGTCTCATATGTCAATCCTACATTCTGTGAACCCCACACTTGGGATTTTTGCTGATGCAGCTCACTAAGAACATCATAACTTGGAAGAAATCCCCTTGTTCCTTTTGTTTCCGAGATAACATCCTCATGGAGCATCTCTTTAGAGGGGAGAGAAGAAATCCCTGCATTACCCCCAATAGGAAAACTACTACCTGGCAAGTCTGTGCCATGGTTGACTGAGAAATCTAATACCGAAGAGGCTTGGGAAAGTGGATTGTATAATGTACCTCTAGCATTGTTGGCCATTCCATTTCGTGCCAAAACTCCACTTGCACACCCATTAGACATAATAGGCTGCCCCATGGATGACTGAATCCTATGACTGCCATTAATTTCATTTAGCATTTGTGACCTTGACTCCGGTTGAGCCATCTGCACTAGTAAAGAGTTACTCTGGCTTCCATGGGAATTGACTTGCATATTCATGCCCCCAAATGACTGGGCAGACTGGTGCAAGTTTGCGAGCTGCTTTGGCTCCATATTTGTTGGAATTCCATGAAGCAGATTAATTTGCTTACTATTATTGCTTAGTTGTTGCTGTTGTCCCTCTCCAAATCTTGGCTTTGGAGTTTCAAAGCTAAAAAGGTTTCTTTGATCTACAAGGGGCATGGATATCGAAGATTTGGTGGTAGACCTGCCAAGCACTGCTGCTTGGAGTGTAGCAAGACTTTGTGCTGGGAGTTGCATGTCAAGCCCACTGAGTGAAGAAATTGACCCAAAGGTTGCATCCGAGGGACCCATGAAAGAGTTATTAAATCCACTCTGATGCTGTGATACCCCACTTATCCTTCTAAGGTATAGACGATATTTCTGCATCAAATAATTGCAGTGGTGAATGCTTTGCAGAGGAGGTGGAGGAAGAAAGGTTTTGATATATAACAGTTACAGCCCACATAAAATTCCCAAAGGAATAAAAGCTGAAAAATTGCATAATCAAGGTTCTTCCCTATGAAATGTTGTCCATCAAGAATGATGCCCTTACCTGAAGGTGGCTGGCAACATTTTCTCTTGTGAGCCCCGGGACGTTCATCAACTCCAGAATTTTCTTAGGTACAGCCTCTGTTAAGATATACAAATGTGAGAACATGAGAAAAGAAGAATAGAATACCAGATAAAAGAAAGGCAACCATATTCAAGAAGCATACAGCAGTTGAATTCACACAGGAACCCACAAATAAGCTAATTATGAGATTCATCTTACTAGGAAAAGAAATAATTCCTATTATATACTACTAACCCATACATAATCTTAAAGCCACCACTAGGATCTGATTCATCTCTTACTTGATGCATAATCCAAGCTGAACTACAAGTTTGCAACAGAATAAGATGACAGATTCAAGGATGGTGATAATTCAAAATGTATAACAACCCCCATGTTGCCCCATTATATAGGTGCTTCATCAAGGATCAAGTGTTCTTCGATGGGGATGAGAGAAGCTTGTTAAAAACGATTATCCAACAGAGATGGAGAAAGAGATAGTGCCCTTCTTATTGAGACGATACAAGATAAGAGTGAAGGACCATGCGTTGAGTCTGACCTTTTGATACTTCAAACTGCACCAAGAACTTTGTAAGGTGATAGTCAGGGAGAAAGTTCGGGTTAATTCTGTAGTTCAAATGGGCGCTCCTCAAAGGAACATTCTAAAACTTCATTTTCCATAGAGGGCATAGCATCTCACCCTCTCTTACACTTATTTCCCTCTTGAACAAATTTTGCCTACCCCATCAAAGAGGCTTAAAATGAATGGGAGCCAACAGTACATAGCTCTTATGAAACACACAGACGTTACCCACTATGATTAAGTATCAAAGGTGAACAACAGAAGGAAAAAAACAAGAAGGAACAATTAGATCAAGGCCAAGAAGGAACAATTAGATCAAGATTCATACTATCAATTCCAAGTTGATTAACGGCTGCCACAAACTGCTGATGGAGCTCAACTGACCATACCACCCGTGGCTTCTTCAATGTAGATGTATCATCCCTTTCCTCTGCTTCCTCTTCCTCATCCTTTCTTTTCTTGGAGTTTCTCCAGTTTCCTTCATTTGCTGAAGATGAGTAATCAGCATCTTCAGGCGGCTTTTGCTGCCGTTCCCCATCTTCCACACTTCCCGTTTGCTCAAAGTCTTTCCATTCATGCTTCTTTCTCCGAACCACATGCTGCCATATGTTCTTTAAGGCCTCAATGCGAACTGGTTTGATCAGATAATCGCATGCTCCGTGAGTAACACCCTTCATCACAACATTTTTACCATCATCCGCTGACATCACTGTGCAGTAACAAAAGCCAGATCTAACAAATAAAAACTTCGGTGGTTTTAAATGAGGTCAACACCATCTGAAGCAAATGAAACAGGGTACTTACTGATAACAGGCAGATCCATCTCAAGCCCAACACACTCGAGGAGCTTGAATCCATCCATGTCAGGCATGTGGACATCACTTATAACAATATCAAAGCCATTTTTATTCTCACGTAGTAGTGATAATGCAATTTCTGCTCGATTGCATTTGGTAACTACAAAACCCCAAAAGAATTGAATCAATAATCCAACAACCGCATAACTACAACAGTTCAGCCACTGGACTAAACACATCCACCTAGAAAAAAGAAACATAAATTATCTATCCAAAGAGGCACAGCTCAAAACCGTGCGCTTTCTTCCTAAGAAATAGAACTCCAATTGAGCCCCTATATCAAATTCAATCACTTTGGAAGTGTTCGAATTTGCAAATATACGATGCTATGTCAATTCATATCTCAATTTTCCTTATATCCATTTTCGAATCTGAACAAAACCATAGCTTAACGTCCATAAGATGTCATAATACATCCAAATTTCACTGGTTTCTCCGGTTTCTCCCCCCCCCCCCCCTTCTGTGTGTGTGTGTGTGTGTGTGTCTATCTGTCTCATTCATCTACCACAGACTACTAATCCCATAACCAAATCTTAAAATGGAAACAGAGGCGCACAAGAAACAATAAGCCAGATGGTATTTACTACTACCACTTATTTTAGAAGTCAAAGATAAAGATTCGAACTTTCTGATTACTAAAACAAATCAAGAACAGAAACTTAAGAGAAACCCGGAATAGAGAACTATTGAAGAAAAAAAAATTAGTACTGGAATAAAATTGTGCACGTATGTACCTTCATAGAGGCAGTTCCGAAGCATCTTCTCTAAGATCATGAGACAAGTCGGGTCATCATCCACAACAAGCACACGAAGACCTGCCGGAAACTGGTCGGTGACCCCATCTCCGGACTTCCATGAAACACTTGAGTTCGGCATCGACATGGATTTCACTGTTTCACCACCACCCAGATTCATTTACTCAATCTTCAACTCAAACCAACACTTTTTTTATGTATAACATATGCATATATAACACACCCAGAAAGAATAATTTTGTAATTACATCACTTTGCAATAACATGCAAAGAAAGATAGACCCAATCCAAAAAAAATCAAAAAAGACACCACCGGAGAGATGCACCCAAAGTTTCAGAGATAGAATTAAGAGAGAGAGAGAGAGAGAGAGAGAGAGAGAGAAGGGGAAGAAAATTGTTTATATCTATATGGTAGTATCTGCATATGAGGTTGAAGGCATAGTTCTGTGCTTGATGCAGTTATTTTTTTATTTTATTCAATTTTTTTTGGTTTTTTATTATTATTATTATTATTTGAGAGAGTGGGTCACTCCGTTGAGTGTGGATCCAGCTCATGTATGAGCTTAACTAACCCCACGCCAGCCAAAAATATATTTTAATTTTTTTTTTTATATATCCGTTATAATTGTGGGTATATAAATATGTTGTATATAGAAAATAATATTTCATAATTTATTGACTTAATCAATTATGGACAATTGAATTAGTATTGAATTCCAAAAAAAGAGAAAGCTTAGGGTACAGAAAAAAAAAATTGGTACCATATTGTCGGTTACCACTTTTTACCGTAAAACTATAACTTTAAAAGAAGAAATTATAATTGTTCAAAGGAAAGTTATGATCGATCACAAATACTCATGATCGATCATGAATTTTCGGTATCAATCTCAATATTTTATGATCGATCTTGCCCTTTAAAATTATAAATTACACCTCAAAAAGTGAGAACTTAATCTTAAAAAATTATAATTTCTGGTACTCATAATCAATTTAATGACAGTTATGTGGATTTAATTTTTTTTAATATAATTTATTAATCTAATCACTCAATGTTTAATAGGGTTGACAATTGATCCTACAACTATAGTAGATTAGATTAGTAAGAATGGATCAATAATATTATTGTAAATTTTGTCCATTGACCAAGTTTTCAAAATGGGTTGTTTGATTCTTCCAGATATCAATATTGATTTTGAATTTACCAAAACAAACAAGCTTTTATTTTTCAGTTTTGAAATTTTAAAAATTGTTACCATAGAAAAAAATATAAATTTAAATATTCATTTGCCTGCAATATCTGGTACATAGTATCCCATAATTTTAGCTAATTACTGCAAAGAATCTAAACTGAATTGTTTGACTTTATTTCTTAAAATTTGCAAGGTTGTTAATTGAGAGTATCTATTTTCAAATTTTTTTTTTTTTTTTGGGGTTAGACAGTACTATTGTATTACACAAAAGGGACCGACTAAGTTCGGACTTGCCACCTTAACTGCTAACCTCAGTTGTTTTGAAAATTGAAATACAGTAAAAATTGCTCAATTTATTCTATATTAAAAGTGATTAATCGAGATGTGCGTAAACTGATTTAAACACCATTAACTGTTAAAAGAGTAATCGTTACGGGTCAAGGTGACGTGAATCGTGAATGTGTGTGTGTGTGTGTATTTTTTAACATGCTTTCATTATCCAAAAAACTGTTTGGCCTAACTAATAATCCAACAGTGACAAGATTAATTCAAAAGCTCTTGAGAGTGACCTCTTCCTGGACTATTCTTTTATGCTGACGTTGCAATATAATTTGCAGTCCTAAGTAACCTCGAAATGTGGTATTAATCACGAAAATGAAATTCTTAATTTAGCTATTACCTTTTACTGTCAATCTTTCACTGTTTCATTGCTTTTATGCACATGAATGGCCAGCTCAACATAGTTGAATTCTTGCTGTATCACGATGTCGTAGATTGCTGTACATACAAAAACTCTAACATTAAGAGGAAGAGGTTGGGCATGATTCAACATATATCATCAAGTTGGTTGCAGTTTTGTAAAATTAGAGTTTCAAATTCTCGAATCCCACCTTCAAAAAAAAAAAAATTCCTTGGAACCCGGTCAAAAGTAGTTGGGTTTAATAAAAATTCAACCCAAATATAAGTTAGATTTGTGTCATCCAAGTAAAGAAATTTAAGCACGAATAGTATTTGAAGACGTTTTCTCGCTGAAATTGAATCGATAGTTTTTGACAAACTGAATTAACATTTAAATCTATCAGTTTAACCCAAGTAATACCCTGAGAAAATTCACTATCAGTTCATGGTTGTTTGCTACTTTCCTAGCTGCTACCACTGCCACAAATTTGGGGTGGGTGTTTGTGTGTTGTTGGAGGGGGGTACACTCTGTACCATTGGCTTCCTACTTTGAAAAAAAAAGGCCTAAAATTCAATAATATTGTATCAGAAGGTAAATATGATATTGAATGCCATATTTAGTTAAGTTCTGAAAAAGCTTTCCTGCCATTTCGCTTTCTTTAATGGTGGCTAAAGCTGAAGCAACAGAGTACCTAGCTTACTGATTCCCGTGAAACCGCCCCCCCTCCCTCTCAACAGAAAATACCCCACAAACCCTGACGGAATCCGTCAAACATCTCTTTTTTTTTTAAATCTTGTACTTGTTAGCCTCCTGTTTTAAAGCATTTTCTTGTGGTCACACTGTTATGATAATGGTATAGACCATCGAATCGAAAAACATTGATAGTGTTATAAAATTATATCAATTCATATGGACGTAATGTTATATGAAGAAAAATTTGAGCACAACGAGATATTTGAATTATATTGTGACATCATTAAACAATATTGGTCGATTCATTAGTTTTGATGAAATAAGCTTGAATAACACTAGATTGACCGATATTTTAATGATACTTATAGTCACCTTTCCTCTGTTTTATGTCCTTTAAATTGTTCTCTTCTTTTTGACCAGACTTGTCGTTCATTGACGTATTGTTTTGAAGACCTAGCCACTACTTGAGGTTTCAACCAATCATCAATGATTAATGAAAAAAATGGTAAGAAAGGATGAAGGACGACTCAAAGGAAGTAGGAAGAAAATCAAAAAAGACCAATAATTTCATGAATGGTGTGCTAACTCTTATGGTATTCCAAATTCGTGAAATATTTGAACAACTAACATTACTTGATTATATGAACACATACTTGTTTTTTGGAATAACATTACAAACTATTTACTATTGGCAGGAAGACTATGGACCAGAAAAATCCGTGCTTGAAAATAACATTTTTTTTAGCACGAATTTTATAAGTAAAAAAAATCAAATAAATTCAAGTAGAATTTTCTAGAATGTATGAATAAGCTAGATCCATGTTACGAGTTAATTCATTCCCTAAATAAGCTCTAACACTCAAGAAATCCATTGGACAGGTAGATTCACATCCCTTACAAGTGGCATAGTCCTCTGTTATTGGAGCGAAAGTAATTTGTTTAGCTTTATAGCCATCCAAAGTATCATTTCTCATACATCGGTGGGGCAAGCGTAGACGCATTGAGTACACCCTTTGCCTTTGATTGGACCAGGGACGAAACTAGTCAAGGTGCATGTAAGCCCTAATCTAGGCGTGAATAATCTATTTTTAATCAAATTAGGGAGATGACTAATCGAGAAGCGCACAAACCCTAATATCAATGTGAATAGTCTGTTTATGATCGAATTAAGAAAGTGACTAATCGAGATACACGCAAGATCTAATTCTAGCATGAATAATCTGACGTAAATAACCTATTTTTAATCTAGGAAGGAGAACAAGCTATTCGTTATAACCATTTTAAAATTCATTCAAACAAAGTAAAGTAGGTAAAACCAAGAGTATATTCTTTGGAACCTTTTCTCTCTTCCAATGAAATAAAGTGTCGCAGATGATATTAAAAATACTGAGTCAGTATCAACTTCAACATCAACGTCGAAGTCCAAGAGAACCCATCCAACCTCCAACTCCAAACCGTTAAGATTAAGGATTATCTTTGAATGTGTCCCCGCCAGATTATTCAGCTTTTCATTAATTAATTAATTAATTTCATCTTTTAATAAAATTAATTAAATATTAAAATTATTGTTTTTATTGATTGTTGTTAAAGGGTTTAGCTTTTTATGGAGGCGGAGATGCTTTTAAGAGAGAGAGAATATATGTTAAACTTAAACACCCAGCATGACTTCACGCGCCCAATAGAATAATTTCATGGTGACGATGTAATGACACGTGGCATTTATTAAACATCACAAAATATTTTAAAATATTACGAGATATTGTAAAGATATTAAAATTTTATCTCAATAATTAATTTATTTTAATATCTTTAAAATAGATATTTTGGAAACAAAATTTTCATCCTTATCGGTAACTACAAAGGCAACAGACGTGACGTGTTGGGGGATCTGAAGTAGAATCGAACGGACACGTGTTGACGTTCTTATTGCTAGAGTGGGCTCCGCCACACTGTGACGAAAAACCCGAGATGTTACGCTGTAAGTGGACCAACGCGGGAGGAGAGTTTTTGCACTGGGCCCCCAATACACCCTCATCACTTACGCGTGGGCCCCCAAATTGGTACGTTCGTGCGCCTGTCGATACATAGTCCTCTCAACGAGGCTAACGTGTGCGTGTGTGTGAGAGAGAGAGAGAGAGAGTTCCCAAAGTTAGTCGGTGTTGTACGGCCAAGTAGCTTGATCTTACAACCTTGTGTCTTGTCTAAGTTTCATAGTTTAACAGTGCGATATAAGTCACCGATTTGGAGAGGCTTGAAATGTATTATTGGTCACGGCGTTGCACCAAAGCATTCGTTCGGCAAAACGATGTACAAAAAATGTTTGACATGACAAAATATTTAGGATAGATTAACTACATTAAGGATTTATATCAATCAATTTAATTACGATAATTTAACGATTTAGAATTTGACTTGAATATATCTTGTAAGACTCGAGCGTCCCGTGTAATATTCAAAAATTTATATATATCGTATAGTGGTATTATTTTTAAAAATACTCAGTTGAATATAGTTCGATCAACTCATATCGGTATCGTATTACTCGTATATTATCCATGGTTCTCTTTCAAACGGATCTATTGGCTTGGATTTCCTTTTATTACAAGCAGTGAACTTTAAACCAATGGGTTTTCCTTCTCCTTACTTTTAAGACCAAGGGGTGGCGCACTGTCTGCAGTGCAGATAAAAAAAAAAAAAAGACAGAAAAAGAGGAGATTAAAATAGAAGAATTTAAATGGTAATGGAAGTTTTGAATAATAAAGTTCCTTCGAGTGCTATTATTAAGAAGAAAAGTGAAGAGTATTATAGACATTTTTTTTA